AACACTGCCCTTGTCACACATGTAGAACACCAAACCATTACAGACAGATTCGCGATTGGCTTGGTGGTGGGTGAACTGACCTATCAAGTTACAATTGTTTCCTTTGCGGCGGTATCACCAAAAGGTGAAATGACAACTTGACCCTCACAGCTTACAGCTAGCTAACTACAGCTTATTGTCCTAGTTTATCGAACGGAGAACAATTCCGTAGCAATCCTCAGATAAAAGCTCCTGATACACTAGAAACAATTTGTGCTTGTTTGCTGGCCTAGTCCGGAAATGTACTCTTTCACATGTTATCGCCACCAATCCAGCACTTCAGCTCACCATCGGTCACCTAGATCTCTACTTGGTAGGCCTACCTTTCCGCTCTCGGTATCTATCATTCCCGGAGTATCCACAGCAAGCGAGCCCGGCGACATACCTGGAAGCTTGAAGCTAGAAGCTAACCCCTTTCCATCGACCTTTCATTCCCACCACAGGCACCGCTGCACGAGAAATATGCAATGCTGATCTGGCAGCTGTCTACATGTAGGTAGGCCAACCTCATAGGGCCGTCTGAATAGTAGTGACATCTTGGCAAGCGCTGGTAGACAGCTCAAGTATTCTGACCCCTACACAGTAAACCTTTTGAGAGATCTCATCTCTTGCCCGCAGTAGCTTTCTCGGCGTCCTTTTTCGGCGTTCTCGTTGCTTAATAGTACCCAGGGACAAAAAGAAAAAAAGCAAGAATAATTTTGAACCCCTCATTTTCTTTCCTGGAGAACAACTGTAGACAAGTCCTCGGCTTACACTAGGTACCCTCGTCGAACGAGGAACCAACCAACCCAAAAATCAGAGGTAAGCGAACTCATCAACACCAAAGCGCCACACAAAGTAGGCTCTCTAAGAGTTATGTGATTGGAGCAAAAGGTGTTAAATAGTTCCCCCAAAAAGTTTCCCAAAAGCGGAAAGTGTAAAAAATCCACCTCACTCACCACCTGGAGAGTGAGCGCCTACGCCGCGCGCCGAGAAGGGGAAAGCGACTCATTCGCAACCTAAGCAAGAAAAAAGGAAAAGAAAGAAAGAAAGCAAAGTTGTCCGTCACCGGAAATCACACACCTGCGCTTCCGAGTATCGGTTCCGAACAGTTGGGCCCTTCTCTTTCTATTTCCACTTTGTTGGATGCTAGATTGATGGAAGTGATGGAGGTGATGCCACAGTGTCTAGTGGTGAGCAAACCGTATCCTGTGACAGAATTGAAATTCCGAGTAGTAGCGGACACGCATCAACTCTTTATTGTCAAGCAGTTATGTCCGAATCTCGAGATCTTTAGTTAGTGTTGACCGGAAACAATGCCAGCACTGGTACTCAGTAAAGAAAGTAAACAAATCCAGTGTCCAAGTGTTCAAACATTTCTCTCCCACAAAGCTATACCGAAGAAGGCCCAATCCAATTACTTACCTACCGACCGCGAGATATGTACGCTAGCAGATAACAATCGCAGCAATCTCCGGCCCAAAGAATGTCTCGGGGAGAAATTCAACTTGTCTCAACTGATAACATTCAAAACTGCGGGGTCTTTGTTCAACCTGAGACAGTTATGGTCGTTGCCCCTCGTCGCGTTGGTCGTTCCTTCCCGTTGTTACTTGCGACTCCCAAATTCCCAGGTTTCTGGGAAAGAGTGGAACGAAGGACACAGGCAACCTCATAAGATGATAAGTTCGTGTACGACATTAACCACGAGGAAGGTATCACCATCTGAATGACAAATATTTCTCTCTTTCGTGCACAATTATAAAGTGGCCAATTGGTGATGACTTGATGATATATCACTCTTGACATTTGTGAATAATTGCTTTTTCCTTTGTTGGTTGCAACTGGCTTTGCCTTTCCTTTTCCCTTTCCTCTCCCAGCCCGCCGAACAAGTCTAGTCCATCCAAAAACAATTGCCCCTCCTTCTCCATTAGGGCCCTTTCCCATCCATTCAACTCCCATTTGTAGATCCATTGCCATTGCGCCCCCTGATATATGGTCGCCCGCGGCTGCTGCACCAGTTTGTTACAGTACATGCGATTAATACATGGTCTTGGTATCGGAGACCCAGCTCTTTCTCTCTCTCGACTGATCTCACACATTAGGTAAGTAAGGTATGAAAGGCCTCCAACGCCCTAGATGATGGGATGCAGTGCAGTGTTGCAGTGTTGCAGTGGACAAAAGGAGATCATAGAAAGAAAAAAAGGGAAAAAAAAAAAAGCAAAAGCCATGCCAGCCAAAATGCCTTTTGGAAACATAGCACATTTGAGTGCGCCGCCGATGGTGTGGTATAGAATAAGGGGTATGTTGTACAACGAAACAATTGTTGCAGGAAAAGTTGAAAGCAGCAAAACAAAAGAAAGTAAACTCCAAACGCCTTGTACAGAAAAGCAGACAGCTTAGACGTGATGCTCGGCCTTTGGCTTCTTGTTCCGTCGGGGAATGTGCTTTAGCTCCTCTTCCAGAGCAGCCTTGGCCTTGGGAGCATATTTGACGCCCTTCATCTTGGTCGGCCTTGGCTTGGCGTGGAGCCCGAGATGTTGTCTTCGGTTGTCCGGTCGGTTGAATTTCTTGTCGCAGAAGCTGCAGGGATACCATATTGGGACTTCCGAGTGAGCACTGTTTGTTTGTTAGTTTGAGCTCTTGTTGGTTGTACAATTACAAGCACGAAATGACTTACTTTTTCTTGTGCCTCTTGAGATGCTCCGACCGCCTGTATGTTTTTCCACAGCCAGGGTAATCACAAACGTTGGTTCCAGCAGAGACCCTTTGGATCGGGTCGATGAGTATCGAGCCTGGGCCATATGCACCCTGCTCATGCTTGACTTCTCCGCCCATGTGCATGCTTGGCCGGGGCGCCAAAGGAGCGTCTCGTTGTACATCTGGAGGGCTGTTGTTTTTTTGCCGAGCCTCTTTCACGTAGAGTTGTCTCTTCCCGGCAGGCGAAGGATACGAGTGTTCACCAGCCGACATGGGAGACATCTCCTCTTCCTGTTTTACTCTTGAAGCCGACCGGCAAGAGTTTGACGATGGCGAAAGAAACTTGGCAAAGATGGGACTTTCTGCTTGTTCCCAGACGGACCACGCATCGTATGTGTTGCCGGGCTGGATTGCCTGTGCGGCAGGGCTGGGTGCAAGCGGTGAAAGAGCCAGGCCGTTGTGGAATGTGTAGTAGTCCATCTGCTGAGGGGACGTAAGATGGGTTCCAACATCGTTGTAATACATTGGCTGAACGTTGTTGAGTTGGTTTCGAGAAGGTGTAAGAGGCATCCCGGTTGCGAGAAAGTCGGAGCCATCTCCAGCTTTCATGTTGAGTGGAAAGTAGGCAGACACGGAAGATGGCGGCGGGGTGAAGACATTGTCCACCGGAGGGGCGAAAGACGAGCCGAAGTCCATTGAGTTGTGGCGAGCAGGCGTGGACGAGCCGGATGATGGCGTGAAGGGGCCGTTGGAGGCAAAGGAGTAGGAAGAGCTAGCACCGCTGAAAGACGAGGGCGGGTAGTCAAGGAAGCCAGCGTCGTGGTGGTCCAAGTCCAGAAACAAGTCGCACATGGAGAGCGCGTAGGTGACCATGTTGATAGTAATGAATACGTAGAGGAGTTGGTTGTCAAGGTAGCGGTTGGTAGCAAAGAAAAGCCCAGGAATGAAGCACAACAAAGAGTGGAGGAGGGGTAAGGATTGGAAAGCGATGGAGGTGATTCCCTTTAGTTATACAGCAATCCAGAGGAGGTGATCTCAAGAACAATGTTTGACCCCTTAGACATCTAGGGAGAGGAAGTGTCGGAGGAGGGAATAATCTTGTCAATATAAAGGGAACCTGGAGGCGGATGAGAGAAGGAGCCGCAGGGGTAGGAATGTGTGGCATGGGACCTGTGAACCTGACTAGAGTGACTAGGAGGGGGCCCTGGAGGGGGAACATGGTAGGGGTGGAATGTTGCCTATTTCGGAGAAGCGGCCAACATCCATCTCACACACTGGGTAGCTTCTACTTCTGGGGGATGATAACTTTGCGGTGGACTACCACGCGGCAAATTGGCCGAGAGAGAGCTGGGAGGTTTGGATCAAAGTCCCACAATTGTTTGGACCAGGGACCGTGTAAGAGGAGATGATCAGAGCCAGGACCTGCTACTGTACACGGCTGGATTGGGACAGCTCTGAGGCTAGCCCCGGCCCCTACCACTAGCGGCCATCGAGGTACATTCGGTACTTGGAGGACACTTGCATGCAGCGAAGTAACCCATCCTCACAGAGGAAAGCAAATCCGGGGGATCTTGACGCAGGGGTTAAAAGAAAGTGGCCTTGAAGCAATCGTCGAGTAGACCAGGAGATGCAGCATCTGTAATATTGAGTGTCTGTGTGTTGATGTTTTGAGCATGAAAAGCAGTCTTGTACATGCAGACTGTGGGAACTGAGGTTGAAACTGAAGTGTGGAGAGGAAAGTCAAACAAGGCGAAAGATATCGGCCAGAAACCAGCAGTGCAGTGTAGATCAGCCGAGTCGACCCTGGGAGTTCCGTCGAGAGTCTGGGGGGAGATGAGGACCACGGTGACAGTGAAAGATCCAAGACACCCAAGACCTAAGCAGCCAACGGTGAACATGGTGAAGGTGGTGCTTGGAATGGGTGCTACGGCAGTGTAGGAATGAAGAAGCCTCGCCTCAACCAGTCTTGGGATCCAGCCCATGAGGATCGACGCTTGTCGCGAGTTGATGGTTGACCATCTGTTGGCTTCAAGTCAGAGTGTTCAGTCTCTACCGATTGCTGGTTCATAGAGGACGGTGGTTGCTAGCAGAGTGCTGTTGGTATATGGGAGGTAGCATCTGCGGGGGTGTTGATGTTGTGTTGTTGCGATTTTTCAGTGTGTGGTGACTTTGTTCAGGCCCAACTTCCAAACACCCCCCTCGTCTGTCCCCATCCGGAAGGAAACTGTCCAAGCCCCGAACGGCGAAGTGAAGAGAGAAAAACGCCCACGACGTCAACGATGACCTTTCGACTGATGACCGTTGGTGTCGAAAGTGTTGATGAGTTGGTGTACACACCACTTGTGATTCGGCACTCGGCGAACCCGAATCTCGCGGTGGTTGTCGTCGGCACTGGAAATGTTGCTTGACACTAGCCTAGTACCGTCGTGAGGTGAAGAAAGGCCCAAGGACTCGACATGGAAAAGACTGGACATGGTGTCGTGAGAGATGACAGCCAATCGCAAGCGCGGGATCTCCACAGCTTTCACGGTTCACGGTTCACGGTTCACGCCATCAAAAGCCACGGCAAGTGCCATCCTGACCGCGGAGGGCTGCCAGTCGTTGAGAGAACAGGGGCAACGGGGTGACATTTTGACCCCACCTTCCCTAACAACCTTATTTTAACGTTGGTCGCACTGTCCCGTCTGTGGCTTTAGCACCCAGGCAAGTGGGGCGACATTGCCGGGTTGACCTCGAGGCAGGCTGCAATTCGTGGAGAGAAGCCTCTTGTGCCTCCAGTCTCGCAAGTCGCAACCCTCGACAACATTGCTTCCGTTCGGGCACGAGATTCCCCTGCCTTTCCGATCGCGGCATCTTCCAGCACCACTCTGCGACGGCACCACTCTGCGACGGCACCACTCTGCGACGGCACCTCTCTGCGACGGCACCTCTCTGCGACGGCACCTCTCGCTCAGCCCGCGTCCATGATACCCTCAAAGGCTTAAATTAGCAGAGGAAACGGGACAGATGGACAAAGAGTCTCACTCAGGCAAACACGGGCGCGACCGCCATCCACCGCTGTCCCATTATTTACCAGCATCCTTCTTTTCTTTGAACCCCTCTGGTTTGGATTGCAGCTTCGCCGTCTTGACCGTCTGCCTTCAACATGCACACACACAAGAGCACTGGAACTCAACCTAAAATACTTACTGATCCACGGTTGCGGATCTTGGGGAAGATGCCGCTGCAAGGCACGGATCTCTTTCTCTTGGTCAAGATTCGTCCGTCTCACGGACCAGTGACCGTGACCAGTGACCACGGGCCAATGCGAGAGCAAGAGGGAAGCTGCGGGACTACGGCTCGCCCTTTTTCCGTATGCCGAAGAGTCCCAATGTCTCTGTCTTCAATGTCTCGAACTCATCAAACCCATCTCTCCCTGTTCGCCTCTTAATTGGCCCTTGGAACTCACAAATCATGCCGCGATCGTTCAACGGTCTGCACGACATCGAGATCCAGCTGCTCTGACTGATTCCCTTACCTCCAACATTATCATGTTGAACCAGCGGTATCTGGCTCTGACAAGTTACCGTTGTCGTCTGCATGGATGAATGACTTGACTGACAAGAGGCCATGCCAGCTGGATTAGATCATGGAAATTCGGATGCTTCATTTGGAGATCTACCGCCTATCCTCCATCTCAGCCACACCTGGGGTCCAGTGTTTGCTCTTATTGACAAACACCGTTGGCCAGGCCACCGTTCGGAGGTCACTCACGTTTTCCTGTTTCGCAGTTCATCCAACCTGACCAACCTCAGCCCCTTGTTACCAACACTTAACCCGTATTACTCAAGGGTTACACACACACCGCACACTTACATCACGCAGGGGCCGAGGTCCCGCAATGGCTTCCTCATGGCAAATGTCACACTTTGTATACGACATGGGAAATGTCATGCTTGCCTGGCCGATGGTTCGATTTTTGTCATCAGATGGCGGTATGTTTATTGTTTCTCGCTGCCCATTGGACTGCTGCCCTTACACCCATCTCAACAGCAGGGGGCACCACTATGTAAGTCAGAACCCCCTTTCTGTTCCATTCTCGTTCCTGCATTAAGCAAAACCCTGATATACCTGGAGGTATCTCCAGTATTCATGGCTTTTGCTCGGCTGGTTCCGTGGCCCTCGAGGTCCATGTTAGACAAGAGCAACTTCTTTGAAGAGTTGGTCACAGATCTCCCAACAGGTGCATCACTCGCCATCCGTGCAACTCGAATATTGATTTGACAATCTCATCACCATATAGAACCCGCTAGGGGATATTCTCCTCTTTTGGAGTGTGCCGCCTACTCTGCACATCCGGCCATATGACTGGTTGGCCTTCAGCAAGGCAGAGTTCACCTCCAGAGACGAAAACGGCGATGCACCTGCTCCCGCCAGATGCGAACTGCTGCAGTGTCCGTCCGTTGGTAGCCGCTCGTGGCAAACACCCGACGCAGGAACATCTCCTAATCGGTCTTCCTGCATACCATCTCGCTCAACAGGCAGCCTCATACCGTCGCAGATTGACATGCCTGGTATAACAAGAGGTACATATACGATATACTTGGTAACCACACCGAGGTCCTGTGCTTGGAGCTTCACCGAGCCGGGAAATACCTCTGATTGCTTTGTTCATACACGGCAGACTTGGGCCGAACAAGAGGAATCTTCGTGATCCTGGCCTTCTGGGTTGAATATCAGCGAAAAAGACACCTCGACGAAAGCCTCAACATATTCCAGAAAATGAGGGTTTGCCGCGCCAACAGTGCGATAGGCTGTTCAGCCTTAGTTAGGCGGATCAGACTAGACGGCATCACGGTGTCCAGATGACATATACGCCACTTGCAGACCGCCTCCGGCTTGTTCTTTATGAGGCTCCACAAGTGTGTTACACGAATCTCGTGCCCCAGTAAGGCGAGATGCAACTTTGAAAAGTGTCAAGTGCGTGTGGGACGGGGATGTTTGGCATGTGTACTTGGTATTCTCACTCCAATGAGTGGTGTAATATTGTCGAGGCTTTCGGATGCGTACCTGCTTCCGTCACAAGCGTGCATGGTACTACATCCGACGACGTTGAACAAGTTCCTGCATAATGCAGACGACGACGACGACGACGACATACATCATACAAGGGACCTTGTCTGAAAACCTGGATCATCGGCCTTTTTTCTCTCGACTATTTTGGGGGCCATTCAGTGCAAAACCGTAGGTGTTGGCGTCTCAAGTGAGCAGCAACATCAGCGTGTTTGACGCCTACGGAAATAGGCTTACTAGTAGCTTGTAACGCACCCCCTTGTTGACTGTCGAAGGAGTCTGTCACCCCTCCGGGCCCTCGCCGGATCTGGTACAGGATGCGCAAAAGTAGCACATGTTGCCAGGACCTGAAAAGGCGGACATGACGTGCTACAGCATGAGTCCCTGTTTTTTGTTCTGCTTCGTCTTGTTCCTCTTTCTCTAGCCAACCCAACACACGCGCGTCTAGTCCCCCAAAGTCCCCTGCTCGACCAGGTTCGTAACTGGCAACCCCCCCGCAGCCGCGATGTTTGCTTCCACTCCCGCCCCAAGCGAGCAACAAAAACCCCCCCCTGGTGGTTGACCAGGACCCTGTTACCACCATGTTCACATAGGTGTATCTCCGCTGCTCTCACCTTTCACTTCCCACCTCTCATTCGCCATAACAGAGCAAGTTCTAAATGGAAATTAAAATGGGCTCGGGACCGACATGGACGGGATATCATGGGCCATTATGACGCCCTCTAACGTCCACAACCAAAGCCTTGAACTTGTCGCCAAGAAGAAATTGAAGCGAGCTTACTACTTCCTAGTTTGTCTTCTGTTTCGCTTACTTTTCCTTCATCTTCTCACGCAGACGCACACCCTGTCCTTTACCCCGTCCTAACCCTGAAAAGGACCTTGCTTGCTCTTTAGTCCCGTTTATCTGATCTTCTTCATGCATAACTTCTGGCTTCTATGCATAGTTCTAGCTCTGGCGGTGCCCCTTCATCTCTTCCCCGGTGCCTTTAGCTTGGTCCTTGCCCGTTGACTAATCTCGAGTAATCAATGTTTCCATATCATGTCATTCGCTCAGACCGAGTTTTCTCCTGGTCGAGGTGTGCGCGGCCCTTGACGAAAGGCTCAATGTGTGTATTTTGGAGGTCCATTTCATGACTCCCAGCCATGACCCTAAGTCTAGGGTTGCGCAGCCGCCTTCCAGGGTTCCCAACTCACAAGGCTTGCCAGGATAAGCACGCCACTCGCACCACAGACGGGAAAGTCTAAGAGAATTTCCTAGGAACTTGCCGCAAAGAGTAGCAAGTCGGTCAAGGGAATGGAGACAAAGACTATTGGCAAAGCCTCACCTCGTTAACAAGCTGATGCTGACGACGATGAGGAGTTGATGAACATAATTATGAACAAAGAGTCAAGAAGGGCTACCACACACCATGACTGAAGTGGAGGAGGCAAAGTCACTGGAGTGTAGGTATATTTGGGTGGAAGGATGGCCAGCCCACCCACGTGCCTGCCTACCAGCCTAAACTGTATTCGGCTCACATTGAGGATATCACATCGAGGAGACGCACCTAGCCTTGCCAGGTAGAGCGGCACTGGCTGGCGTACTGAAGGCGTCCATCAGCCCGTCCATTCTTTGCGACCTCAACAACTTTCTCGCCTCACCGTATCCGAACCAATAGATGTACTTTCGGACTTGAAAAAGCCACAATCAGCCCAAAATCCACGGCCAGACCGTTCACGGCGTTCAATGAATATTTGAGGGGTAGAGGGGCTCGGGAGGCCACGATGGCCTCGGCTGTCTGGAACCTGGAGGGAAGTAAATTTAGAGGAGCAGTGAGTGAGTGACTTACATGCAGGTAGGCGCTGCGGAACGTCAATGAGGAGCAGTGACCCGTACGTAGCTTGGTAAGTAGTATGTGATATCAGATGTGACGGATCACCAACGCTTGGCTGAAGGCTGAGTGAGGATGACGGAGACGTGAACTAAAGAAAAACAGTCCACAGAAACGATGACGGCAAATCTTGGCTTCGCGTGGTCTGGTCGGTACCAGCCGTTGCTCCGGTTCCACGATTCCACTTGCGTAGGATCAACAAGCGAGCGCCATCAGCCATCATGTTCGTTCGTTCGTTAACAAAGCAAGGAAAGGTACAGCCTCAAGCCTCGAGTCTCGAAAGCCACGTGGAGTGGGTGAGACGACAATAGGTACCTATCTTCAGTCTAGTCTAAGACGACAATAGGTACCTATCTTCAGTCTAGTCTAGGACGTTCGTGGCGCAGGTGGGTAGCTGGGCGTAGCTGGGCGTGGTTGTTATTTTTGCGCTCGAGGATGAGACTTAACTCCAGGTAGCTAAGCGAGCGAGAGTGAAATGGATGGCGAAGTTTGTTTCTGTGTTTTCTGTGTGAGTGTCCCCGTGCGGTTCCGGTCCCGGCTCCGGTCGGTGGGTTGGGTTGGGTTGGATACGGACTCGGCGATGCACCCCTACCGGATTCAGTAGAGGTATCAAGCGGGCAGCCAAGTTAGCCAAGGAATCGTGGCTTTCGGTGTGTGTGTATGAGGCTCACCGTACAGACACACGCCCTTTTTTGGGATTATAGGAAGAGCAAACTATTTTAGGTTGTGAGCTACCTAAGACAAGAAAGACCCTTGATGATTGATGTATGTAGGGAGGGAGGGAGGGGGGTCTGACAGATCACCTTGAGGAGTGGAGGTGTACACTGAATAAATGGATCCGACGAAAAAAAAATAATCAGTACCATGACCTCAAGCTTAAGGCAAGAAAGAAAAGAAGATTAGAAAGGATAATCACCGAAGAACGCAAAACGTGATCAAGCAGAAAACTGACAAGACCCGCCTCCCTCCCTCCCTTATTTGCGCAGCAAGCAAGCCTTTCGGAGTCCGGACCCTAGTGGAACAAAAACGCTTCGGCCGTAAAGTCGCAAACACTATGTTTGGTACTAGACTAGACTAGTTCTAGCCGCTCTTATCTAAACTCATCCAAACTCAACTAGCCCTGTCTGTCCCGTAGAATAAAGCCAAAATTGATGATGATGATGATGATGATGATGATGATGATGATGATGATGATGATGATGATGATGATGATGATGATGATGATGATATGATGATGATGATGATGATATGATGACGAGGACTGAGGATGCTTTTTGTTTTGTGAGTGGCCTGATTGATGGCTTTAACTTGGTAACTTGGTAAAGTGGTACGTAGTAACTTGCTAACGTGGTAAGTACATACTAAGGGATGCCATCTTATCTGCCTGATGACAGCAGGACAGCAGGACAGCAGGACAAGACAACAGACAGACAGCCACGGTCTGGTCTGGTTTGATTCGGGGTAGGTACTTATTTCTCACTCAGCGTTTCTCGTTCTCGTGGAGGATATCGGTTCCGTTTGGTAGGTGGTTTCCACTTCTGATGGATGGATGGATGGATGGGTGGGTGGGTGGGTGGATGGATGGAAAATGGGATGAAAGAGGCGGAGGCTGCGGAACATAGGTAAAAAGAAAGAACGGACAGTTCTGGTCTGGTCTGGTCTGGTCTGGTAATACCTAGCAATACCTAGGGTAGCAAGTAGCAAGTGACGTTGAGTATTCTACCTACCTACTTACCTACCTAACCTTTCATACGCACTATCGATGGTAATATGGTAAGCCGCTGAGCCGCTGAACCAGAACTAAAGTATTTCGGCAGCCCTCGCTTTATTTGAAAGTTTACCTAAGGTAGGTTGATGATTACCTGGTGAGGTCTGGTGCGGTGCGGTTGCCAGGTTGCCCGGTTGCCCGCAGTGCAGTGCCAGGCAGATTTGGGTTATGACTTATGACGGGCGGGGGAAAGAAAAGATGCTTATTACTTTAGGTATTGAGAGTTGTTATGTCCCAATATCCTGTTCTAGTATCCCTTTCTAGTGTTCCTTCTAGTGTTCCTTCTAGTGTCCCTTCTCAGAACTCAGGACTTCCCTCCCTCCCTCTCTCAAACAACGAATGCACGAGTGCACTTACTAGGCAAAGCAAATGAAAACTCTTTTTGAGGTCTTGAGCTCTACTTTTGCCTTGCTTTGCCTTTCACATTCGTATTTACCTAGTATAGTAGGTATCTAAGCATTTCCTTGTTTTTTTCCCTCTCTCTCTCATTATAATATAAGAGTTTGGGAGACAATTTAGACTTTAGGATAATTCCATTTCGTCTTTCCAGTAAGTAAGTAAGTAAGTAGTATATCTATGTATGGTAAGAGGTGTGGTACCGACTGAACTAACTTAACTAACTACCATAGTAACTAACTAGGTAACTAACTAACTAACAAATAAACCAACTAGACTAGACTAGCATTAGAGTTGGAGTTGGAGTTGGACTTGGACTAGGTATTCATTCATTCGTCCCTTATCAAAGGTCTCTAGGAAACAGGTTAACAGCAAAACCTTTTTGTTCACTTTTATAGGTAGGTAGGTAGGTAGGTAGGTACCACGAGACGATTCCTAGAGACTACGAGACTACGAGACCACGAGACCAAGAATGTTAATAATGATGATGCAGGTCAAGACCCCATCCATCCAAATTCAACGAACCTATTAGAGTTATATAGGTTGATCAAATCCGATCAATGATGGCATAGTGTTGTGGTACCTCCCTCCTTTTCATAATCTCTTTAGAATAAATAACAGGTTGCTTCTCGTCAGTCTCCGTCTCAGTCTCACTTCAACAAAACCGAGAACACCCAGAATGAATGATTACTGTATGTACGATTACAACCCATACCATGATGACTCATTACCAGTCCAGTCCAGTCCATCCATCCATATCATATATCCATCCTTGCTTACAACCCAATGCTTAATTTCTATACATCACATCAACATAATCTTTCATGCTAAACATTCGCTTCACTCAGTCCGAATCAAACCACCCACCCCCCTTTCTCCGTTTCTCACTCCCCATTCCCCCAGCATACTTCTCCTCCTCCTCTGCCCACTTCTCCCTCTCCATCTCCTTTCTCGCCAGGAAAGCCCTCGCAAACCTCCACGCTTCCCAATCGGCCAAGTTCCACGCTTCTACCGCTTCGCGGATCTTGATTTCTTCCTTTGTGACGTGACTCGTCTTCTTCTTTTGTGACTCCTCATTCGCGCTACCAACTATGTCCTTGGCCAAGGAAAGCAGGTTCGGTTCAAGCTTAAGATCCTGTTCGCTGGGAACGGGACCCTCTTTTTCGTCGTGAAGGGGAGGGAGGATGGTCGTGTCCTTGGGTTTGTGAATTTCGCTCTCAATCTTCTCCGTCGCATCATCGTGCTCGTTTTCCTTGAGGGGGGTTGTTGTAGAGGCCGATGCGGGCAGGGCGGGCAGGTCGAAACCAAAGTGCCAATCGAGAGTTCCTTCGGGAGTTTCACCCTCGGCGGTAAGCCACAGAGAGCGCGCAGAGCCGTATTCCCCTGCTACAGCCTCTTTGAATCTCAGAACCCTAGCACCGGCGGGGACAGCTTTTCCTTTGAAAAGATCCGTCATTAAATCGCTGACCCAGGCGTCGCGAACTGAGTCCCGCCTGATCCACGGGACGGTAATCTGCTCGCGCATTGCAGATAGCGATTGGATGGTGTAGGGATGCGGGACAGTGCCGATGGTGTACACGTCCGAAGAATTCTTGTAGTACGCCGGCGTGGAAATCTTCATCGTATGCGCGCCGGTCGTGGAGCAAGGTGTACATTTCGGTCTGTTGGGCGGGCAAGATTGCGGAAGCGGGTTGTTGGACGGGCAGGAAGCTAGGCGGAGGGCGATGCTGTAAGAAGTGGCGATCATGTGCGTTGTGTGTTGCGGGAGGGGTTTCACTACTGCTATGCCGCCTTCGGAGAAAAGGTTTTGCCAGGTTTGGTGGAGATGGGCGTTGATCAGGTCGTTGAGAGCCTTGAGGCCGACGACGCGGTCGCCTCCAATTGTTTCGGCGACTTTGGGGTAGAGAGGCTTGAGGCGGGTGGCGGAGTAGAAAGCTAGACTTGTAGGGTCGGTGTCGTCTATCGCGAACGGTCCGTCGCTTTCGTCCTTGTCTTTAGAGTCCTTGGAGTCCTTACCAGAAGAGGTAGAAGAGGTGGCGGGAACAGCCTCAAGGAAACTCTTCGCCTTCTCAAGGTTAGGACTCCCAAGCGCAAGTTTAATAGCCTTGGCCACGTCCACTTTAGGGCCAACAAAAAGCCCATCGCCTAGATCCTTCCACCTCGTCAAACCCGGGAACTCGCCGCGACGCAGATACACCAAAAGCGGATCATCGTACGCGCCCATGGGAAACAAAAAGTAATGCGCCAACAACCCGCCGCCCATGTTCTCCCACGCCAGCCAGCGCATGAGATCCGTTTTTAGGGATGCATCCATCCCCTCACTTCTGTGCTGAAGTTCTTCGTAAAGCGGATTATTCATGGCCTCGGCCGGACTCAAGATGATAGGCTTGAAGCCCATGGCCCACCAGGCGCGGCGCCATGACAGCAAGATGTCGCTTTCGACTTCCTTGGTGGCCTTTTCGCGCTCGATGGTGTTATCGTAGTAGACGTAGATGGGCGGGCGCGGGCTTAGTTCGGGAAGCAGGGAGCGCGATTCGTCGAGGGTTACCGAGCTGCTGAAGGGGTAGGAAAGCCATTTCCAGTTGGCGTACCAGGAGGATTGCCCGTAGGTGTCGTTTTTCTGGCGCGGAGGCGCGTGGGCCGGTTGCTTGAAGGGGTTTACTTTGTTCCAGGGGTTTTTGATGGAGTCGGGGATCGACGGGATCGAGAGCTTGTGGTCGGCGATTTGCAGGCTGGGACCGGTGGGGATGGCGCTGGGTAGGGTGAAGAGGAGGCTGAAGATTGCGAAGAGGGAGACGGAGACGAGGAGGAGGGAGAGCTGGCGAGAACCTAGCCGGGGGAGCGGTCGTCCGAAGAGGACGAGTTGTCGTGGCATTGTGTTTGTTGTGTTCGTATGTGTGTGTGGTTCGTGGTGTTGCGACTGCTCAGGCAGATGGTGATAGACAACAAGTCTGGGGTTCTCGGTTCAGTTCTCGATTGTCGAAAGATCAGATCAAATCATTAACAAGGACACTACTATTAAAAGCAAAAAGAAGAAGTTGGGAACCGAGAGTTGTCGAAGAAGGATCCGATTGCGATTAGAAGTCGAGCATTGTCCGAGAAGTTGAAAGCAAGACAAGCCAACGACGTTGAACTGTCTGTCTGTCAAGCAGAGACTGTTCTCCTGTCTATTGGGTTGAAGCTGGGTGTTTGTTGTTGGAGAGAGAGGCTGGCACACGTCGGAGATAGATGTTCAGGAGAGGTCAACTTCCATCCGACAGGGGGGGGGCGTTCTAGAAAGGGAGAAAGGGGTGACGCGGGCGTCGGAAGTGGGACACCTCGCTCCACAGGCTGTCAGGGGTGACACGCGTGCGATACAGTGTGGCTGTGGCTGCCACTTAAAGTCCGGACACTGTGCGGTGGTGCAGCCGTCTTTAACCCTAACCCTTTACAGCTCCCGGACTTCCCCCAACTAAGTTCATGTCAACTGTCCAAGGCGGATGGAAGATGCAGCGAGCAATGATTATACTCAGTATATGACATTTATTATTTCATATGTCCTCGGTCTTGTTCTATATAACGTAAATCGCTTAGCCAAGCAGACGCCCCCCACTCCCCTGATCCCATATGTCATATGTCATATCATACCTCCCTCTCCCTCAACGCATGCAACATACTCCCCTTCAACAGCGCCAACTCCTCATCCCTCTTCTTGACCGCAGCCACCATATCCATGAACTTCTGTTGCCACATCTTTTTCTCCTCCTCGGCCTTTTTCAATTCTTCCTCTCTCTTTTTCTTCTCTAGTTCTTCTTCCTCCTTCTTGGACAACTTTTTGTTTGTGTTGCCTTGTCGCTTGCCCCCTCTACCACTGCTCTTTTCACCAGCACCACCAGCAGTTGAACTTTCACCATTCTGATCTCCTTCTGCACCAGCTACCGCATCTTCACTGGAGGAAGTAGGCTTCTTTGCACCACCACCAGCACCCCATTTCCCAAGTCTAATCACCTCCTCCATCGAGTAATTCCCACATATCCCTCCCAGTCTCAATCCCCAAACCGCCAATACCTTGATCCATTTGCCTCCGCTTCCGCCTCCTGCTCCTTCTTCTTCTTCTGAAGGCGGATCAAACCCCTCACCAAGTTTCGTAACCCTCAACCCCCTCCCAGAACCACTTCCACTTCCACTTCCACTTCCACCTCCACCTGCACCTCCCACCCCCTGCTGTCCCTGCCCCCCATCAGTCCTACCACCCGGCCCCCCATCCCTATTCATAAGTGAATACCCCCCCACTAGCGCCGCCAAATTAATCAGAAACCCCTCCTTGTTGCTCGCATTCCGATGCAAGTTTTCTATGACGGTATGACAAAACGCAAACGCTTCGTCAACAGAACAAGCCGGGATCTGGTTCCCCTGGGGATCAAGCCAGGTGGCTGACAAGATCTGGTGAATGAAGATGGACTCGACATCTAGTAAATTGTATTTGTCTGTGGAGGGGTCGACGAGGGATTGGGGAGTAAATGGGGAGGGGCCCAAAGGCCCGTGGCCGGTGTGGGGGTGGGTGAGGGTTAGGGAGGAGGTTGTTGGGATGGTGGTTGAGGGGCCGTTGAGGTTTTGCTGAGGTGTTGTGGAGAAGGTGAAAGAGGGAGAGGGGCCGGATGGGAGGAAGTGGAGTTGTGAAGATTGGTTCTGGTGTTGCTGTTGGTGGTTGGTGATTTGGGCGTATTGGGGGTGGATGTAGGAGTTGGAGTTGGTAGAAGAAGGCTGCGCTTGGCCGTTTACCATCAGCGTGGGCGGGGCCGGGGCTAAGAGGGGAGGAGTAGCCAGACGGACTTCATTGCCTACGCGCTCGGGGACTTGGAGGGAGAGACGGGTTCGCTTTGCTGGACGGCCGGATGCTGCTGGGGCCGGAGGTTCTCGGATCGTTGGTGATGGCTGAGCGGCCGTTGCGGATGTTGCAGTTTGAACAACACCTGCTGGGGCGGGATTTGGTCGTGGAGGAGGCAGAATAGGGGTTTGTGACGGCGGCGGCGGGTTATTGTTATTGGGAAAGGCGTGTTTCCCGTAGTGAGGTGAATCACTCGACGCTGGGAAGGCCGAAAAGGGGCCGTCACTGTTCAACTGCCGATTGATGGGCGGCCGTCCTCGGACACGACCGGTAGCTCCACCAGTTCTCCATGCCGACGATACCACTTTAGCCCCGTGACGCCTACTCAGAGACTTGGGCTTTGATCCAGACGGTGTGATAGCCGACCTAGGCTCATCAGACCAAAAGTTGGTTCTTGTCGTGGGAGTAATAGCAGACTGGGGATACGCAGTCATGGGAGTCTGACCCCCATCATTGTTACCCCAAGGAGCTCCTCCTCCTTGTCCAGGTACTCCAAGCCGTGTGTTATCGAAAGTGAAGACACTACCCCTCTGAGCAGCAGGGTGAGCAGACCACGGCTCTCCACCACCCGGACCACCAGGTAAAGGAGACTGAGCATCACCATCCTCCCCGGGCTTCCTCCTGCCTCTCCTTGGCCTAATATGCGGCAACAAAGCCCTCAAAGCCATATCATCCTCCGCCCGCACGCCGTCTCTTTCTACCTCGGTGAGAGGGATTGCCAGCGACGGGATATCCACCCAGTACTCGTGCTCCCGTCCAACGAGATACTCGAAAAACGAGTCAATGTGCATGGAATGCATCCACCTCTTTAAGCGGACAGCATATTGCTGGATCTTCTGCGAACTCTCGCCCTTGTCGGTGTCAGGTGGGTCAACGCCTAGCTTGAGAGCCAACTCGGCCCATGTCTTGATTTCCTTGGTCTCCAGCTGCTTGATCAGTCCGAAGAGCACAAAGGTGTTGAAGGACTTGCCGCCGCTTTTTGGCGGGTCGGAGAACGTATCCCGGAGGACAATGGTGTCGGTTTCTAAAGGCACGTGGGGGTTGCAGTGGAAGATAAAGTCGACGTAGGCATCTTCTATTGTTTCTTGCGTGACGTTCACGTCGGGAAGAGGTGGACGGGTGGCGTATGGTGGGTAATTTGGTCGAGCCGGACGAGGTGTTGCTGTATTAGCTGGAGCAGCAGCAGACCTAGGAGGAGCAGCAGGAGCAGAAGGAGCAGACATGACTGCCGCCGGTTGTGGTGTACTTGAGACAGCACCAGCCGCCGGTTGTTGGCTAGGTGTCTTGTCTGTGGGTGATTCGGTGGTGGACTCAGCAGCAGATTCGGCGCTGGTACTAGCAGCCTGGCCCATGTCTGAAGTCGGGTCGATGGAAATGGGTGATGCCGTCAAGGTACTACCGGGTTGAAGTTGTGAAGGTCCTCCTGCCTCTGCTGGTTGGTCTGACTCTGCTTCTTCTTCCAAGGCCTGTTGGCCTTCCTGCATCGTGTTCCAGTTGTCACTGATGTGAAGCGTGGAGGCGTAAGGATGCGGCTGCTTCTTGAATGATTTTTTGCTGGCCAGAGAGTTAAGACATGACATATGGATTGGTATATGAAGGAGTGGATATGAGTAGGTATTTACGTGACGGGCGGGATCCAGTGTATCATATCGACTTGTCCCTATTTTCCTAGTGTTGATGTATGTAAAACGGGTAGTCTCACACAACGCGTCAAGCGCGTTGAAAATGTATGGCCTCGAAGCCTATTCAGAGTTGACGATGAGTTGGGTAATCGGACACAATCTTGTCTTTGCCGATGGATATCAACGAGTGTCTCTGTCTCCGGTGTAAGAGGAAGGTATGTGCTTTCACTCTGGGGTTAAGAAGTTGTGAAAGGGACAAAACAAAATTGACTGGGAGGAGCCAAGGAGAGCAAATTAGCGGATTTTGCTTGATTGCTCCACCGGGAATTGGGACTTTGGGAATTGAAAAGTTGAGGCTTCATCCAATGCTCACCAACTGCAAAAGTGATGATATCAAACAATATCTTCGTTAGTAGAAACCGCAACTGGGTATAGACAGAAAGTGAGTGGTTGGGCAAAATGGTCAGTCTCAATCGTCGATGTTGAACGGCGGAGAAGGGGTTAAACTGTACAGAAGGGGATAAAATCAGTCGGCTGTTCTCCACTCTTCCAGCCACTGGTGGGCTGTGACTGGTGCCACGGGCTGAGCGCCACTTTCTGTCCGTGTTATTTATAGCTTGGCGTTACTTTCATTGGACTGTTTGTAGCACCGTACTGTACGTATTGATTACAATGTCACATGCGAGCAAAGCAATATCGACAACAACGTTGATGATTGCAACACCTTGTGGATAATGGCTTGGTGTTGAAGTGAGGTCGTCTCTCATCCTTGAGTTGATTGCCTTACATATACATTTTCTCCGTCTGGGGAACGTGATGATGTGCAGCCCGGGCTGTTAAGTAAGCTTCGCCGTACTCACACTTGCAGCCTGTAAGTTCGCTGTAAGCTACAGACCGATGCGGGGCCCCGGAAAACAACGTGCGTCAAGCAGAGGGCTGACTCAGTATTTATCCCGAAGTCACCAGGTCAATATCAAAAAGAACCTCGAAAGAGAATGACAAGACCGAAGATGATGAGGCAGGCGAAGCATATAAAAAGGGGTCATGCTTGATATCATCCCAAAAAAGGTTTCGGCTGTCATGCACCTCTGATATGGATTCGGCCAATGCCAGCTCATTGTTTAAGTTGCCGTCATTTCGTATGGCTGTTAGCTGTCTGCTCTAACCACATCTTGTAGTCCGTACATGTCGTTTGAATTTGTATGAGCGGTCAGTGGGAAACATCATGATTGGAAACAGAGAGTTGAGAGAGGGTGGAAGTCACGATAAATAACCACTCGGCAACGGGCACTGAGAAACCCAAAAACATGAAACGGTATCCCCCGCACACCGTTGGAGAAATACGGGACATGGACGGGAACAAAATTGCAAACAATTACCGAATCCCAGAACTGCGGCTTTCACATGATTGCTCCCTGCTTGGCTTTTGTTTCCGCCAGTTGTGGAGAAAGGCAATTCCCCCAGAGCCAGTTGCCCTGTGACGTCGCTGTAACTTTTAGCTTACCCCATGCTCACCCACGGAAACTCCAACCACACAGTGGACAAGCCCGTTGTAACATCGAGGTCGCTGTTAGTGCAAACCGGCACGGCACCAGCGTCCACTCCAACAGCAATCGGACCTCGGCTGCTTTCCCACTTCTTCGGTCGTAGTCCCCATTCAAAGAGGGAAAGAGAGTTGTAATGGATCACTTGAACCGAGCAAAGGCGGCAATGAGACAACCGAACCACCACTAGCAATAAGAAAATACTATTTCTCTTTTTTGCTTCTCTTATTTTCTTACCTCTCTCACGATAGAATAACTTGAAGATCACGGCGATAGCCTTTTTTCCTTTCCTTTTGACTTGACAACTGCCCATTCCCGTCCGTTGTTTCCGCGACAACCCCGCCCTCTTACACATCGCAACTACAACAAATAACATCACCAAATTCAACATGTCGCAGTCCAAGCCCGTCATCCCCCAAAATGACAATGTCGCCCACGCCCTCGCCGGCGCCGGTGGTGGCATTCTGTCCATGGCCTTGACGTGAGCATCTCCCCGTCTTCTCTGCCCCATCCATCCATCCTCGGTATCTCCAGCATCAGCACCACCATCACTGCGCCAGTCTATATCCCCCCTCCAGACCACAAACTAACAACAAACCCACCAACACAGCTACCCCCTAATCACCCTCTCCACCCGCGCCCAAGTCGAATCCAAGCGCTCCGTCGACACCACCTTCCTGGCCGCCGTCCAGAAGATCGTTGCGCGCGAGGGCATTTCCGGTCTCTACAGCGGCTTGTCGTCGGCCCTGTTCGGAATCTCCGTCACCAACTTCGTCTATTACTACTGGTACGAATGGACGCGCGCCTTCTTCGAGGCCGCCGCCATCAAGGCGGGGCGGGCCTCCAAGAAGCTGACCACCGTCGAGAGCATGATCGCCGGCGCCATCGCCGGCTCCGCCACCGTCATCCTGACCAACCCCATCTGGGTGGTCAACACGCGCATGACCACGCGCAAGGCTGCTGCTGCCGAGGAAGGCGAGGGTGGAAAAGACGCCGCGCTGCCGGGCGCCCCGCCTGCCAAGAAGCCGTCCACTATCGGCACATTGTTGGCGCTGCTCAAGAATGAGGGACCCCAGGCCTTGTTTTCCGGTGTGGTGCCCGCGCTGGTGCTGGTTATTAACCCTATTTTGCAGTATACGCTGTTTGAGCAGATGAAGAATGCTGTGGAGAAGCGGAGGAAGATGACGGCTACGCTGGCGTTCTTCCTTGGTGCGGCTGGAAAGCTGTTTGCGACCAGTGTGACGTATCCGTATATTACGGTCAAGAGCCAGATGCATGTCGCTGGCGATAAGAAGGAGGGTATGAGGGAGGCGATCAATCGCGTGGTGAGGGAGGAGGGGTATGCTGGGTTGTACAAGGGTGAGTATTTTCCTTTATCGGCCTCTTCTGTCTCTTTCGCGATAATGGCTAACAGAGACAAAAATAGGCATCGGCCCCAAGGTAACCCAGTCCGTCCTCACGGCCGCCTTCCTCTTCGCCTTCAAGGACGTGCTCTACGAGCAGACCGTCAAGCTAAGGGGCAGCGTCACCCGCAAGGCCCTTGCCTAGTGGGCTGAGGCTCATGCTTCAGATGGCGTGGTCCCACCATCACCACCATCACCACCACTGGCTCTGCTGCTGCTGCTGCTCGTCAAGCTCAAGCTCAGGCGGTACGCTTAGTGGGTGAAGTTCGCCCTCTTGAGTCCGTTTATGCTGTACCAATTTGATCATTGTTTGGAGGGTATCGACTTTTAGCCTTGACCTTGTCTTCGGACGAGGATGAGGATGAGTAGCTATTGGATATCTTCTTGGGATGACAAAAGCAACAGCAACAGCAGCATAACAACAACAACACAACAACAACAACAACAACAACAACAACAACAACAACAACAACAACAACAACATATCAACAACAACAGTGTCTGGGCATTAGGTACCTAGACAAGAGAAGAAAGAAGTGGATAGCGGCAAAAGTTAGCGATGGGTGGAGGATACACCCTGTACAATACACGGGAGGTGGGAGGTGTTGTTGAAGCGGACGGAGAACAACCGAGTTATAGGGAGTTTGGATTATGAAGGAATGATTGTAAACTACTTTCGTTGTATTGCCTTTTTTTTGGAATAGATTTGTCTTGATTAGCTTTTGAAGTCTTCCGGTTGCTATATCTCCCTCCCATGCTGTGAATTCTTGCTCGTCAGGTTCCGTCTACAAAACCAACTATCTTTGACTTTGCCATCTTACCAAACCAGCAGTAGTTACCAGCGTCTAGAACTGAACGTAAAAGAAGAATTCTTGTTTGTTATCGACCGGCAATATTCCCACATTCCGTCTACTTCTTATCCATGCAATTCTCAATGTCACATCACCTTCCTTTCACTCTGTTCAACCCTGTCTATGTATTCTTACCACCATCACCCACCACTTACTCATCCCTTACGCTCCCTCAACAACCTCAACATCAGGAACAATCCACCACCAATGTTCCCCCCGATCCCACACCTCTTCACTCCTCGGCACTTTCACCTTAACTACCCTCTTGATCTCTTCCGTCGTCTTTCCTTCAACATCCATCTCCACCGCTTTTCTGATCCCTTCTTGCAAGATTTTCTCGGCCTTTTCGATGCTGAGTTTGTACCGACGGATGTTGGAGATCCAGCGGTTGTGGTTACCTCTTGCTTGGTCTTGGGGGTTTTGTGAGTGTGACTGGTTCTGTCTTTCTGATGGTGTTGTAGGGGCAGCTGTTGTTGTGGGGGCTGGGGCAGTTGAACCGGATGTTGCTGCTGCTGTTGTGAATGGGGACGGGGTTTCGAAGGAAGGTAAAGAACTGAATCCACCACCACCAGCAGCAAAAGCCTCCCGCTCTCCCAAACCCTCCAACACCGCAAATGCTTTCTTTGCCTGACCAACCGCTTGTGTCGCGAATTCCCACAGTTGCTTTGTCGTCTCTTTTTGTCTTTCTTCTCTTTCTTCTCCTTCTTCTCCTTCACCCTCTCTGTGATTGCCAACCCCACCGCCCTGCATATGCCCCTTCCAAGTCTCATAACTAGGAACCTCCGGTAAACTAACCATCCTAAACGGCTTCATACGGACTTCATACCGCTGCTCGTCCGTGCCATACGGTCTAGGCGGCGGCGGGATTAGTTCTAGCCGTTGAGACAGGATGGTGTAGATTACTGAGACGGTGTCGGCGAATTCCCAGGTTATTGCTGCGTCGAGGATTGTTGACCGTAAGTAGGTGAGGGAGCGGGTGAAGGATGCTTCGGGGGTTGTGGAGTAGGTGTAGTGGTGGGTTATGGGTGTGGTGGTTGAGGTTCCTGAGGTGTTGTTGCCTGTTGTTGGGGCGGAGGAGGCGGAAGTAGTAACGGGGGCGTTGAAAGGGGAAGGGGATATGGGAACGGGGGAGGAGGAGATAGAAACGGGCCAGCCGCGAGGAGGGTGGTAAGGTTGGGTTGGAGGTATCCAGGGGGTTGCGGGGATTGGCTTATTACTATGGGTAGAAGAAGGAGAGGTAGAAGAAGACGACGAAGACGACCGCAACTCATTGAACCGATGATTGGTAAAAGCCTGAATACGTTCCACATGCTGAGCCCTCGTCTTGGCCAGATGGGAAAGATACCAGTACATGCCCGCCAGCTCATCGGGGGCATAGATCTCGAGCTCGAAACCCAACTGAACGATCCACTCCATCAAGCGAAGCTTATAGAGATATGCCCACGAGGAAAGCGGCAACGAGTACCCCGGCTCAGACCCCAAAGTGAGCGTGGTCTGCGACTGGTAGGCTAACGGTTTCTCGTCGATTTGCACCTGCAAAAGCTGATCGATGTCTTCGGCGTCAAGCTGCACCTGCTCCCAGTCCTGGATCAAGTGACACAACATGCGGCGCACACGACACCGGTTCTGGCACAGCACGCGGAAGATGTCGATGTAGGCCTGGGCGGCGCGCTTGCGGAAGAGTTCCATCTGGTGAGCGATGGCAAAGCGGGCCGAGTGGGGCGCTGCCTCGACGAGGTCGTTGTTGGGATCGAGCAGCTCGTGCGCGGGCATGACGACTATAGAAAGGTCGTCATCCATGACTTGGCGGATGCTGAGCCGGTCCAGGAGGACCATGTCTTTGAATAGCAGGTTCTGGAGTAGACAGCGGATGTAGACCAGCGGCTGCGGTTTCTGCGCTTGGAAGTGGAAGACGAAGTTCAGAAGGCTTTGCGAGTCGTGATAATCCAGGATCTTAACCGCGTTGATGGCGTCGTTGCAGAGCTTCTTGAAGTGCTTCGCTGCTTCGTCGAAGCTGAGCGTTACGATCGGCCGGGGAGGCATGCTGCTCGCCAGTTTCCGCTGGAGCTTGGTGCTGAAGGCTTCGGGAACCTCCTTGGCTAGGCCGGGCAGCTTGAGAATTGCTTCCCATACGCTGTGCATCTGATACCACGGTATCTGGAGAGAGTCGGGACTGCCGCGATCCTCTATGAGCTCGAGAGCCCGGAGGAATGCGGATCGTAGTTCTAGACGGAACGAAAGTGCTTGTGTCATGTCGGTCCCGATCTTGGCCCTAAGCTCGTGGAGCGTGTGTTTGGCTGATAAGATCTCATCCCGGATCTCATACCGGTCAAAGTGATCCATGAGGTTTCGGCGGTAGGTGTTGGTGACGAAATCCTCTTCCTGTCCTGTATGTCAGCCTTCACCCCCTTCTTCTCATGCGGCTAAACTCACCTCGTAATAAAGCTCGTCCCTGATCGTCTCCAACACATCCGCACAAGTCCTCACCAGTCCCAGACAATACGCCCTCAAGACAGTCGACATGGGATCCCTCGGCGTCTTGCGATTCCTTACAAAGTCCGCCTCCTGCAACGTAGCCGACGCCGGTTCCACCAGCGCTTCGATATAGACGCTGGTGAGGATAGTCTGCGAGAGGGGATAGCCCAGATGCCACGCCATCTCGAGACAGAGTAGTTGATCAATGATACCGAGTACCTCCGGGGCAGACAGTGGGCGGTTCACATCGTAGGTTTCTTCCAGAGTTTCGCCGGGGGCTAAACAGCCACTGTCCATCTTGGGATCACCAATCTGGGGGTGTGTTAGTCATGTGTGTGTATGTAGCTGTAAGGAAGGAAGATGCATCATTACCTCAAGAGCCCCGACAGCTTCGAACAAAGTGAAATAGGCATCTTTGACGATCTCTCCGGTTTCCAAAGCTGTGTGAGTGAGAAACAGCGGCTGGTCAGCATCATCATCATCCTCATGAGATTTCAGTCAATCAGTAAAGGCAGGGGGCAGTCGGGTGATGACCTACTCCTACAAGCAGACAGAAACTTTGTGGTGATGTTGGTGGCGATGATCCCCGGGTTAGACATGCTGGGAGCTGGAGCCGGCTCCTCGTCGTAGAGATAACTGTTGAGGTAATCGTTGTTTGGGAGCGATAGTGCGAGCAGTTCTGTTTGATGTGGTGGTGGTGGTGGTACAAAGGTCAGTGAGATGTCCATCAAAGTGATAGCGGGGTTGCCCAATGGGGTAGTGCAGCAATTGCTCAAATGCATGAAAACGAACCTCTTTGAACTGCAGCTTCGTGATCGTCTGGGATCATGGTCTTTTCCCTTCACAAAGATTATTGGTTCTCCGTGGGAAGGTGCTTATGCAACACTTGAGATGAAGAGAAGTGGAGGAAGTGGAAGTGGTGTTCTGCTACGGGAAGCGTCTGTGCCTGGAATTGATAGCGTCCGTGAGCCCGAACTCCCGTCCCTCGGGTGCAGTACTCGGAGCTTGCTCACTTTCCGCTTGATAGTGGATGATAAGGCTGCGAAAGGACAAATGATGGTTTATCACGAGGTATTGACTATTCTTGAAAACAATATATACCTTTTAACTCTTCAGTATCATCATTGGCTGGGTTTCATAGTTTCCGAATTTGTATGTAGTGAAGTCTGAAGAGCCATCGATACCTAGGTTGTGCTTCAGGGTTAAGAATCGTTTCCTATCTGCAACAAGACACTGCATCTCTTCAACAACCTGTTACATCCCGTTAACGAACCGCACGCCCATTTCTACCAGCTCAAGTTACCAATGTCTTTCTCATAGTCACCAAACCACACATATCAACCAAGTTCACTCCCCAGCAGTCGCAATCACAATCACAGTCACTCCATCAAGTAAATGCCAATAAACCGTCTATTGAGTTTCTTCTTCCTCGCTCCCCCAATATTGATGATGCAGGTCATACGATCTTCAGGCTTAATGACATTCGGCAGGAGTGGGACTTGAGCTATATGCGCGGGAGCGATTCGCACAGAATGGTCATATTCTCATCTCCCGTCCACCACTAACTACCAACTATTCCTAGCACATCGTGTTGTCGATTCGCTTAAGAAGAGGGAACGGAGGTGGCGTTCTCGGCGGCGGCAGCAGCGTTGGCGGAGCTGAGGGTGGTGGTCTCGCCAGCCTTGCCGTTCTGTAGTTTGAAAGAGGATATGGTCAGTACTTTGTCTCTGTGAAGGCTTCTCGTTTTGACTTGGGTCGGTTGCGCATCCGCTTCCTCCCTTCGCTTCTCCTTCTTGTCTGACTATAGCCGGCCATCTTCCACCTCTTCTTTGGATTGGACGTTCCCTGATAGACACATAAGAGCCAAAAAAAAGGTTGTAGTCACTTACCGACCACTTAGCGAACTTGATGTCGGCAGACTCGCCGCGACGCTCAGCAAGGATTCTCTTATCCTCCTTGAGGGAGCGACGGAGCGCACGAGAGGCGACCGCGATGTAGCGGTTGTAGCTGTGATTTTCGAAGAAAAACCGTGTTAGCCTTTCATTGTCCTGCACTGTCTCCTTGTATAGTTCATATCGCGTCCAGTCCCGTCTTCTCTTCTGCCCACCAGCCCTGCTCCTGCTCGTCGTGTTCGTTCTCTCTCGTGCGATATCTGGTGGGTTTCATCGTGTCTATCGTAGCTCTGGATGAATGCTGGCTGCATTCTTTCGCATCGAAGTCGTTATGCATCATTTGCTCGCCTTCCCGGTGTCGCATTCGTGCCCGTCTTCCGAGTCATTCAGACATTTGGAGTCCTCTGGTTGTCCCTGCCTCGTGCATTTCTTTTCCTGCCCTCTCTCGTCGTTTTTTCGAGCCCAGGCTCTCGTCTGTAGCCTGTACTTCTCCATCCCCTTCTCCCCCAATCCGTCTGAATCCAATTCCGCCTCCCATAGTTTCGTAGGTTCGCCCGTCGTTTTGTCGTCCATCCGAGTTGAAGTCGCAGGGTAATTGCAATTCCAATTTTTTCGCAATATTCGCCGGCTCTTTTGTCGAATTCATTCGTGCGCAGGCAGGTTCGTCGGCCCAATCCTCCTCCAATTATCGAGCGGCAATTCTCTCTCTCTTCCAACCCCGTCCTCTTCCCATTTCCTCTCCTCCTCCCAAGTAAAGAAGCAAAGAAGAATACTCACGTAATGCCAGCGGCCTTCCAAGCGAACACCATGTTGGGCGAGTTTGTGGTGGGGTGGTTTGTCTTGACGGGGGGGTTGACAAAGACTGGTGGTTGTGCTGTGCTGCGGTACTTGCTTGCCTGCTGCGCGCGATTCTCTGTCAATGCACCTCAACCGACTCTGAAAACTGGTCCCACCCTGGCCAACAGAGACCCGAGAAGCTCCGCTGCCGAAGCTCCGTGTCACGTGATGCCCCTCCTTTTTTATCTTGGACTATTTGGCACTGCACCGCAAGCTCAGACAGAAAGTGACAAGCCCAAGCTTCCTTCCATGCCATGACGAAACGGAAGGAGCTACGGGCGACACGGGCAAGCTCCCAACCAGGTGGTCTCGGCAGCTTACCTAACAAGGTCAAAAGTAAACATCAGCCCCTGATATCGGAACCAACTTCATTTGTTGCCATTGAGTACGGCATTGCTCTCAAATTTCAAATGCGCTTGATCCTTCTTTTTCAGAATATTTCTCAAAAATGTAACACCATCCATGTACCCTTACAGAAACACGCGTCTCCCATTTGATAGGGTATCCAATGTCAACAAAAGGAATGATGCCTGCCGCATTTATATAGTTCTGCTAGAGAAGTAAGGGCGAGGAGTGAAAAAGTCTAAGAGGTTGTTGATATATGCACAAAAGGTCGTCATCGGTCCCCAGCCGTTCTTTCACCTAATCTCCCGCTTCTTACAACGAAAGTTTCTACAACATCTTCAACAATCCCGGCCGGTTTTGCTGTTGGTACACGGTTCTTTTTCTTGGTTTCCCAATCCTAACATCTTTCTCTCTCTTTCTCAAAAAACTTCCACGCCTTTCCGGTGTCAATCGGTCGATTCGTTTCGCGTTTGTGGTATTTGCCTCTTTCAATTAACTACGAATTGCACAACCCGCTTCTTCTACGCCTCCAAAGTCTAGTCTACGTCTATACCTTGAGACCGAGATCCTCAGCGTAGGGAAGGACGTGGAGGTCACCGACGGCGGAAACGGAGGCCTTGCCCTCGAGGAGCTTCTTGGCAGCCTGTTGAACCTTTGTTAGCATGTCTTTTCTCCCCAATTCTTGTAGGTTCACACGTACAGCCTGGAGCTTCTCAGCGGTAACGCCCTCGAGAGCCTTGAGAGTCTCAGCGACCTGGAGGGGCTTGCCACCGGCAAGAAGGTTGGCACCGGCGTGGACGAGACCAGTGCCGGAAACCTCGCTGGCGGAGAGGAGGTTGAACTTGGCCTTGGCGATAGCCTTGGTGAGGTCCTCCTTGGAGACACCACCAGCAGCAATAGCCTTGAGACCCTTGACGGCCTCAACGGCGACCTTGCCGACGGCGGCACCCTTGCCGGAGATCTGGATGGCGAGGAGACCAGCATCGGAGTAGGCGTAGTTGGTGGCGAAGGCCTCGGCGCCGGGGTTGGCGGCAGTGGCCTTGGAGAGAAGGCTGAAACCGGGGGACCACTTGATGTTGGAGGCACCGCCGAGGAGACCGACGAGGACGGAAGTCTCGGGCTGGCTGGCGCCAAGGGCAACACCGGGGAAACCGATGACGATGGCGTTCTTGCCGTTCTTGGCAACGCGCTGCTCACCACCGAAGTACTTGGAGGCAGCGTTGTTCAGGTTGCCGGTGCTGGTGGCGGGAACACCCTTGAAGAAGGGCTCAACCCACTTCTCGAGACCGGCCTGGCTGGCACCGTCGGCGACAACGGCAATGTTGGCCTTGTTGTAGGCGAGGTTGGCGAAGGCAGCGACCGAGTTCTCGTTCAGGTAGGACGAGGTAGGGGTGTCGACGGTAGGGTAGAGGGGCGAGCCGAGGCCGTTGTGGAAAGCGACGGTGTGGGCGGCATCGAGGGCGATGGCGGCAGAGTCGAGCTTAGCCTGCTTGGCGTGGATGCAGTTCTCGACGAGCTCGTGGAACTCGTGGGCTATGGGGCGGGCAAGGCAACAATTGTCAACATAGACTGGCCATGTTTTATCGGGGGATGAAGGTATTATCACGCACTGGTGTACTTGGTCTCGGAGATGACCTCGGCAAGGAGCTCGGTGAAGTAGGGGAGGTCCTCGCGGAGGAAGGAGGCCTGGAGGACGAGGGCCTCGCGGGTGTGGTAGGCCTGCAATTGGCCGCCGAGGAGCTCGGACTCGCGGACGATACGGAGGGCGGTTCTCTTGTTGGTGTTCTGTATAGTTGCCCAAGTTGCCAATTATTAGCTCATGGGCCTCTTCTCTCTCTCATCGTGTCTCCTCTCTCTTGTAGAAACCTGCCTTGAACGCAAACTCCTCCAGACCAACGGTCAAGCCGGGAAGGGGCTCATATCGGGTACCGGCCTTCGCGACGACGGCGAGGCGGGTGGTCGGACCGGAGTCGTCGCGCGAGGCAACCTTGACGCCGGCGATGGTGGTGGGTTCGTATGACGCCGCGGGAGAAGCAGCAGCAGCAAAGCCGCGCTGGGCCGTCTTCGCAACGGCAGGGCTGCGAAGGGCCAGCTGGCTTCCCCTCGTGAGAGCCGATCGGGAGATCATGGTTGGAGGGGTCGATGTCGTCCAATTGACGGTTCTAGATGATTGCGCAGCGAGCACTGCTTGTAGGAGCTTCACGTAGTCTCAGTATAGTGTAGCAATTCCGTCTCCGAAAATTCCCTGGCACCGGCAACTGGGGCGCTGGTGCACGTGCCGCCGGCAGCTGTCTGGGTAGAGCACAGACCACCTTCCAGCTGTACAACAGTGCCAGCTCACCCAGCTGTGAGGCTCCAAGGCGTCAGCACCCGACCAAGCACGAGTCGGGAGCCGCACAACGGGCTGGCACAGGCCATCACCCAGCGGTCTCAGTGGTCAGCAGTGAAACACAGCTCATCATTGGCGCGAACCAGCAGCAAAATGCCCCGCGATCTCACTGAAGCTTGATAATGGGCTAATGGAGCTGAGGACAAGAAGGCAACGACGGAAGACGGAAGCCAAGGAAAGACCAGCAGAGCAAAAGACCCCTTTCCCAATTTCATCAGATGGAAGTTTCCGGGTCTTCTCGGTGTGAAGACAAGGTGAAAGGGTTGTTTCATCTTATCTTAGCTCACAGCAGCAGGATCTCGGTCAGGTTGCCGGGCGGATGGATTCCTCTTCGGTGTTGTCGATTCCACGATTCGATTGCCGTCGGGGCAACTCTCAAAAAGTGGATTCCAACTTGGCACCAAAGGTAGTACGTACCTCTTGTACTAGCACCTGTACCGGTAGACGGGACCCCAGGGGCTAGCGTGGTTCTGCCGCGCCCGTAGCGATTGACGCGCGGACCTGGAGAGTCCCTGCCGTGCATGCGACTCAAAAAAAATAATTTGTATCATTTTGTCATTCGGATTTCCCCGCGGTCGAACAGTCACCACCGAATACTATTGCCGGCGTGCATTGCATTCGCTGAGCACACCTCCCACAATATAGAAACATCAGGTAGTCCCCCACCATACAACTGACTTTCTGTCACCTTAATATATAATTTCACGGCTCTACCCTCCCGTCTGCAATTCTTCCTCCCCCGCCAATCCCTGGAGATTTCCCATGCCATTTCGGTAGTAACCGTGGAAGCTCTAGAGATAGTGAGAGGATCTCTAGGAGCCAGATCTTCTTCAACTTTATTTCAACATCGACATCGACATCAACAAGAACCATCATCAATTGATTATACGAGCCTGATAGCAATCATGGCTGTTGTACGTATTCCCAACCCCTCCTGGTTGTCACTGCTAACTAATGACTATCACAGATCAAAGAGAAGGCAGAGTTCTGCACTCTCATGGTCGACGAGCTCTACGGCCAACTCCCCGCGAGAGTATATGCGACCCTTTTTCAGCGAGGAAAGCTCTCGATCCGCCTCATCACCCAGTTCTCCAAACTCAACGCCCGCCAAGTCAAGAATGGCCTCTGCGTCCTCCAACAACACAACCTCCTCTTTTATACCGTCGATGCCAACTCGGGCGAGGCCGAGTACTCGGTAAACCATGAATCCGCCTACAACCTCGTGCGCGCCGGCAAGATCCTCGAGATGGTAGACAACAGCTACGGCCCCGCCGGCCGCGACGTCATGCAGAATCTCCTGCTCCTCGGACAGACCCGAGTCTCCGACTTGGTAGCCGCCTACCAGGCAAAGATCAACCTCGCCAACGACGAAGACGCATGGTTGGACGACAAGAAGCCCGAGCTCGTGATCAAGAGCAAAGCACAACTCAACTCGGTCCTTTGCCGACTCATCGAGGCCGAGTTGGTCGATGTCATCCACAGCAAGACATTCCAGAGCGCCCACGAGATTGAGAAGCAAGTACACAAGGAGGTCATGGACGTTTACTTCCCCAACGGCATCAAGGGTACAAAGGCCAAGGTTGAATTCGAACAGAAGGTGGCGGAGGGTCTTCGCAAGGTGCGCGAGGAGTCCAAGACCCTTAAGCGCAAGCTGGCCCAGAACGGGGGAGCGAGCAAACGTAGGAAGCTGGCTGTTGGAAATGAGACAAACGGAGCTCCGGAAGAGGAGGAGGACTTGGATCCGGCATTGGATGTAAGTCATTTCCTATGGGACAAGGGTCGAGACTATGTTGCTGATTTAATTTTTTCTGCAGCCCCGACAAGTCATCCGCATCAACTACGAAAAGTGCATCGTCGAACTACGCAGCCGCCGCCTTGTCCAATACGTCAGCGAGACCATCGGAGAAATGACAGCATACGTTTACGGTCAAGTGCTCAAGCAGCTGACCAAGAACATTTCGCGCTGTAGGCCAGACCCTCTCATGGACAGCTTGACGCTAGAAGAGGCGAAGGAGACGCCCTCGGTCACAACAAACGAAATTCTTGACAAGGTCAAGACCTCAGTCGACCTCACACTCGGAATTGGCAAGATCCCGGGCAAGTCGATTTCGAAATCAGCAGCGGAGAGACTCATCCCGTTTGCTCCAAAGGACAAGATTCCTTTTATGAGCCAAGAGGACAGCGATGATGACGACGAGGATGGCGACTACAGCGACAGCGACGAAGAGATGGACACCAAGAAGGAAAATGGAGATGCGCCGGTCGCCAGGATGAGCCGACCTGAGCAGCTGCGGCAACACCTCTTGCTGCTGGCTGAGAGTCAACCGGGCTTTGTTCGTCACTGCGGAGAGGATGAGTGGACGGTCGACTTTAAGCCTCTAATGGAGAACCTCCGGGCGACGGAACTTGACTCGATCATCGAACAAACGTGCGGTCGTCAGGGGCTCAGGTTAACACGCATCCTCCGCACCAAGGGCAAGCTAGGCGAGCAAGCCCTCCAGTCTCTCAGCTTGATGCGCAAGGTCGACCTCCAGCAAAAGATGTTGGAAATGCGTCTCGCCGGCTTTGCCCATACGCAGGAAGTGCCCCGCGACAACAAGGCCGATCCCAAGAAGTCCATCTTCCTCTGGTACTGCGATACGGAGCAAGCCTACAGCGGGCTGATTGCCAAGTGCTACGCAACCATGGTGCACTGCTTGCAGGTGCTGGAGGTGCGTCGGCAAAAGGAGAAGGCGGTGCTGTCCCTTGCGAAGAGGACGAACGTCAAGGGCAAAGAGAAGGATATGATGCGTGACGAGTCGTACGCAAGGTTTGCCAAGTTCTTGAAGGACGAGAAGCTGCTTATGGCGGAGGTGATGCGGATCGATGATACCTTGGCTCTCTTACAAGACTTTTAGACCGAGCACATGCCGAAGCCGAGAATTGTTTTACACAAGAAAACCACGCGGGTGTCAGAATTACCACCGCTTAAAGCCGGGAGTATGGCACGTTGAAGACGTTTCGGCAGCGAGGAAATACCCCCAATGAGATACCTCTATTGATTGATCATTTGCGGGCGGATTGCCCGAGCCCGTGACAAGTTTGGGTTGGGTTTATGGGATGCATTCATAGGTGTTACAAACATTATCCTGATGCGCTATGGGTATCACCACCAAATAGACTGACAAAAACGTTGTCATAACATTTCTTATTTTACATATAATCAATGACATGTGCAACTGAATCACTCACTCACGGTGTTCCCCCCTTCGTCAGCGCCGAACACTCGGGTCACACCAAACGCCAAGCACATGCAGCGGCAGTGTGTCGTTCAGAAGTTCAGATAAGGCTGGCGCTAGGGCCCGATAAGCCCCGGATTGGCTTAGATCCCATGTTAGCGTGGACTTGGCTTGTCAAGGGTTACACTCGTAAATCCCGCTGTCGGAGGAGCTCTTTTTGTTAGCGCGAGAAATTCGCAGCAGCTGGGCTCTTCTTCGCTTGGGGGGGGAAAAAAAAGTTCAAAAAATTTCACGCGCGGCCGGCCGTTGAGTCCCGACTCGACCCCATCCGGGCATCTTTCAGTGGTGACTCCAGTTTCCCCTCCTCCACTCCAGTCAGCTCAATCAGTCCCGTCCCTCGTCCGAGGTACCTTGCTCGCTGTGTGTGCCGTACAGTACTGTCTTATCTTCCGGTCCCCGTCCCGTCTTCCTCGTCTGCCGGTGCTTGTGAATCCTTCCGTCGTGATCTTCCTCTTCTTCCTACTTCCAATTCCCTCGTCTCGTCTTCTGCAATCCTTCGCCAGTTGCCCATCCATCCCCGCACGCACTGCAGCTTTTAATTCCATATAACCCCTCACTCACAGCGGTTATAACCTTTTAATCTTTAAACACCACATCACCAAACACAACAGACAAAATGTCTCCCGTCGCTGCTGGTCGTTCGGAGAAGGAGTCCAACCTGGCTAGGTTGCTGGGATCCGGTATGTTTACTTTCTCTTTTGCAAATCTGCAATGTCTGCAATGACTAAAGAGAGCTACCATGACATCTGTGCTCATGTCTATTGGCAATTGGGGATTGGGAATTGGGAACAATGTTTGCTAATTCGTACCTTGTTGGTGTGTGATATAGGCTCTGCTGGTATCGCCGAGTTGGCCATTTTCCATCCTGTACGTTTGTTGTACTGCCACTACTGCTGGCCATTGTCGTTGTTGTTGTCGTTGTCGTTGTCGTTGTCACCGATCGGCTCCGGTTCCCTTCTTCCTCGAGTCACGTCGACAGGTCCAAATGGGATCAGATAAGTCCGTACGAGACGTGGAGGGGGACGAGAGGGAAGAAGCTCTCGAAGCTCCATGCCATCTTATGCTAGCTACCAAGACAGACCGGGCCAATGGCTGGTGTAGCAGCTCTGGCTGTCGCATTGGTGGTTTGGTTTTGGTTTGGTAGCTAGCTGGAGCTGGAGCTGTCCTCGCCAACAGAATCAGGATGAGGATAAGAGGAAAGATGGGGACAAGACAAGACACGACATGACACGACACGGACAAGGAAGTGTGAACGAACATAGGGAGCAACCTTACTGACCTTCCTGGTGACAATAGGTCGATACCATTGCTAAGCGTCTGATGTCCAACGAGACCAAGGTGCGTACCTTTTCCCGTCACCTGCTCAACGCAGCACCTTGACGACCACCTTCTTTCTTTGAAGCTTCAAAGCTGACATTTCTCCACCCAGATCTCCAACGCCGCCGAGCTCAACAAGGTCATCTTCAAGAAGACCGCCGACGCCCCCTTCAGCCGCAAATTCGTCTCCCTCTTCCCCGGTCTCGGCTACGCCGCCGGCTACAAGGTCCTCCAGCGCATCTACAAGTACGGCGGCCAGCCCATGGCCCGCGACTTCCTCGGCACGCACTACGGCAAGGATTTCGAGAACGCCTTTGGCAAGAAGACGGGCAAGGCCATCATGCACTCGACCGCCGGCTCTTTGATCGGCATCGGCGAGATCGTCCTTTTGCCCTTGGACGTCCTCAAGATCAAGCGCCAGACCAACCCCGAGGCCTTCAAGGGCCGCGGCGTCTTCGCCATCATCAAGGACGAGGGCTTCGGCAACTTGTACCGCGGCTGGGGCTGGACTGCCGCCCGTAACGCTCCCGGATCCTTCGCCCTCTTCGGCGGTTCCGCCTTCGCCAAGGAGTTCCTTTTCGGTCTGAACGACTACAACAAGGCCACGTGGTTCGAGAACTTTGTCGCCTCTATTGCTGGCGCTTCCGCCTCGCTCGTCGTCTCCGCTCCCCTTGATGTCATCAAGACCCGCATCCAGAACCGCAACTTCGACAACCCCGAGTCGGGCTTCCGCATCTTGACCAACATGGCCAAGAACGAGGGCGCCGGTGCCTTCTTCAAGGGTCTTGTTCCCAAGCTCTTGATGACTGGTCCTAAGCTCGTCTTCTCCTTCTGGCTGGCGCAGACTTTGATTCCTGCTTTTGATGTTGCTTTCAGGAAGTAAGCGGTGTCACTCACTGCCTGCTAGACGGAAGATTAGAGGGACAACAAAAATTTGGCGTTTGTTTGTTTGGATTGGGTGAAAGCCTTGGATGGATAGAGATGATCTGTCATGTTTGTTTCGCCATCTTTGTAACAATATCGTGTGTCTGAGCCGGAGTGGGTGTAAAGGGGAGGGTTATATAAGGTCATGATAGATATTCCCGGCGTTGTGTGGTGGGCAAAAATAAAATTTCCTTTCTCGTTGATTGTACCAACTCAACTTCCACCCCCTCTGTCATTCATTATGTATTTTGTTTCTTGCTGGTCCATAACTTGCGAGTGTTACCGTCGACCTCAAGTACTTGTCGAACGGCCAATGGAACGGCATGAATCAATGACGAGAGGTCTTTCTGCACCGATGGAATCGTTCGTTGTCTCATAACGTAAAACAGCGGAAACTTGTTCTTGTATTGCACCAGTCGAACATGATTATTCACGATGGATCCATCCTTCTTCCAGTTGTCAAAGTCTTTCCGCATGGGTTCATTGAGTCTGGATCGAATCCATGGTGCTCATCATGTTGCCCTACCCTGGAAGTGCAAGTCACTGCATCGGCATCTTTTGTTCTACAATATTCTTCGGTGCTATGTTAACCCTACTTTACATGATTTGGTAATTTCGTAATCTGCCGTCCATATCTCGATACTCTCTCTCTCTCTCTCTCTCTCTCAAACTCTAATTAAAGATGACGATACAACGCATCTGTGAGTCTGAATATATGCGGAACTCATGCTCATCTGTAGAGCCCATGCCGCATATCATAAAAAGTAGTAAGGCTAATGTGGATAATGCAATAATGAAACAAGAAATGATGAAGTCTTGTGTTCGCAAAAGGCTGTCTGCCATGTTCTTGTATTCGAATAAGGCTTCCAACCATGTGTCGATGCTTCCATTCCTTGTACTGATGGTCCATACTCTCCGTCCAGGCGCAGTGAAAATGGTCTTGATCCGCATTGCCCGCTTGCGCAGACTGATATTAGTGATCTGACCCATGGCATATGAGACCATGACTGTGTCTCCTTAGAGGTTGAAGGGAGCGGGAATCTTGCTCATGTTGCGACGATCAGACGCCTCGATGGTAACATTCTTGAACTGATCATCCAGAGAGCTGACATGCTGAAGGGGACGATTCTCTCCACGCTTTTCGGGAACAGGAGTGAGCATCGCGCCTCCATCACTGCAATCATTGTCCGGAGAAGGAACAACTCTGTGGGAACGATCGCTGCTGGGAGGGAAAGACATCATCGTGGAAGTCTGATACTGAGGCAGCCAACCGGTTGCGGTCGCCGAAGACAAGGCACTGCTGGTACCGCTCTTCTTCAACATGTCTGGCCAGAGCTTGGCACCGCCAGACACATTCTCGGCCTGACGATCTTGGAGAGCCATCGAATGGGCGTCGAGGCTGCTCTCGCGAGACTCGTAGGTGGCAGTCGGCTCGCGAGAGTGGAATCCCTCAATGTGAGGCTGAATGTTATCGGACTGACTGTACATCCTGGAATCATATCCCTTGGTATCGTAGTCATCCTCGTCGCCCAAGGTCGAAGCAGGTGCACCCCTGTGGAATGGTGTGCAGGGCCTGAAAGGGTCGGAGCGGGTGAGACGGTACTCGTCGGGCCTAGCAGTACCGCCAGAACGAGGCGAACGCATCTGGGGGCTGCCGGCGACAGTGGACTCGGCAACGGTAGAGGAAGCAACAGGGTAAAAGTGCTTTCCATCGTATCTGGGTAAGCCCTTGCTGATATCCTTGGGAGCGTTGTTTTGGAAAAGGAAGCGAGCGCGCATCTCATCCTGGGTCAAGGGTCTGCTGTACACGTAATCTTTAGAGGTGGCATGGCGAGGATCGACGTTCTTGGGAAGGGTTCCAAGCAGGTAAGGGACGCCGTAGTGTGAACCGGCCGTGCTCGACTTGTTGCCGGAGGAGCTCAGATTCTCACGGCTGGGAACGCCGAGAAAATGAGACTGAGAACCTTCCACATAGTCAATGGGAGGGGGCGGAATCGGATCCTCAATGGGCATGCCACACAGGCGTCTGTCAGATTCCATCCTAGCCCTCTCTAGCTCAGAGAGCGAACGAAAGCGGCCAGGGTAGAAAGACGGAGCCATGGCGGCCGCAGGAGGCAGATTCGCAGTCATCTTCTGGAATTCCTCAAAAGTCATGGAGTCCTCAGGATCGAACTTCATCCTGATCTCGCCATAGTCCTTGCGATGGGTCGTGTCCGACTGCGAATCATCATCGTCGGTGAATTCACTGGGAGCATTGTTGTTGAACTTGGAGTTCAACTGGCTCTCGGTCAGAGATGACATGGGTTGCATGGGTTGAGAAAAGCTCCTGCTATCAGCAGCAGCAGCAGGCTTGTTGTCCACCTTGGAAGCCTTCGGGGTTTGAGATCCGGTAGTGGCATTGTCCTTGAGCTCGGATTGGCCAAGAATCGACTGCTCATACTCGAGCTCGGTCTTGAGCTTGACCTCAAAGCGTTGGATGAGAGCACGATAGTTTTGGATGGCGGACTCCATCTCTTTCTCGTCAATCTGGTGACGGTTGTACTGAAGCTGGTCCTCATGGTACTTGAGAGACTGCTTGAAGCCGGCAATCTGCTTCCTGGTAATATCGCTCGGCTTAATGGAGGAAATAACCGGGGGAATCGGAGGTGGCTTGTAGTTGGCAACCGAGAAGCCCTGATGGTTCATGCCAGGAACACCGGCTGAGCCTTGAACTCCCTGGTTGGACATGGAGAAGGCGCCCATGACGCCACCAGGTCTGCCAGGAAATTGTTGCATCATATGTCCAGTCATACCCGTCACGCCGGAAGGGACACCAACCATGGAAGGTACAGCCATTTGGTTTCCCGTCGGGCCAGGTGGGGTGGGCATGAAGTATTGGCCATTGAACATGAAAGGCTTGCTCGGGTCAAAGAACTCGGGAGGAGTAATCTTGACCTTGTCGTTCTTGTCACCCGGGGTAGCAGTCTGAGCCTGCGAACCAGCTGGCTGCGCACTGTTGATGTCTTTGTTGTTTGCCATGCTATTCTGCGACATCTGGGCCATACCGGCAGAGTTGAAAGCCTGAGGCATGAATTGGAATCCAGGAGGAAGTTGACCGTAGGGCATGGGCATGAACGGCATGCCAGCGGGGAGAGCTTGGAAGCCAGGTGGACAGCCCGGGAAGTATGGCGCAATGACTGGGAAAGGCTGGGTGAAGGGCATCTGACCCAGAGATGGCTTGGACTGGACAGTCTTGTCGGAAAGTCCCTGGTTCTCGTTGAGACCGCTCTCCTTGGAGCGCTTGGCAGTCGGTGAGGGCGGACCGCGAGTGTTGGGAACAATACGTCCTCCGGCAGTGACCCGAACGTGGGTAGGTGACACAACGGCTTTGTAGAACCGCTTGAAACCTTCGTTGGCTTGGGTCACTTTGCCTCCAGGAGCCGAGATGGGCTCAGCTGAGGCAACGTCCGAGTCGCTGCGACCACGGTACACCCAAGCGCCGTCGTTTGAAGACTTGGGATCCTCCGCAAACTGAGTGGCAATGTGAAGGTGCTCGGCCTCACGCATTGGCTCTCGAACGGGTTGATTGATCTTGTCGCGATGAAGATCACGAGTTGCCTCGCGGTGAGCGCGACGACTGGCGTTGCCCTTGAATAAGACCTCCTCGGAAGCCACCGACGATTCGTCCCAGTGCCTTGGTTTGTGGGCCAAATACAATTTGTTGTCGGATGATTCGCTTCCCGAGCCTCGGATAATGTTGCCTGGAATTTCACCTTGTTAGTTTGAAGTTTGTGCTGTCAGGAGAATGGAGTGCACTTGCCAACTTCCGGGTTGCCGGAGAACTTCAGCGAAGCACTGCCGATAGATGGCTGGTGGAGCTCCTTCAGCTCCTCGATCGTGTACCTGCGTCCAGACATGTTGACCTTGATGAACGCAAACACGTGGTATGTGCGGTGTCGAACGGCACAATGCCACCTGAAGAGTGTCGGATAGAGACTCGGGTCTTCGTCGGCAGTTGGCAGATACGGCAGGATAAGAGCCGGAACTGGTAGAGTGGGTATGCAAACGCTAGGACCTTCTGTTAGATGTTGGGCCTTCAACTGTGAGAAGAGGAAGACGGGACAGGAGTCGAGATATGTGTCGAGTGGCCTGAAGGAGTCACTCGACTCGACGACAACGGTGACATAGTTGCAAAGCTTGGTGGTGCGGAGGAGGTGCTTTGCTGCCAGAACCATGTAGGGTGGGAGAGGTCGACTGTGTGTTTGAAGCTCCCAAAGAACATGGAGGAACTTGCGAATTTGTCGGGGATGATGAACAGGTCTCTTGTTATTAATCTCCATCTTTTTTTGGGTGCCAACCCAGATGAAGAAGGTCCCCTCTTTGATACCACCACCACGTTTGTGTATTGTGCCTAGATATGTTATGCCCTTTGAAGTGCTGCCACGCACTTCGCCAACCCGACCCAACCTTGGAGTGCAACCTGGTTCTGTCAAACCTGGCTCCTCCCTCTTTGACCTGTGCCTGCTGTGGTGTTTGGTGCCTAAAGATGTTGAAGGTGAAGTGTCCCCAGTACCCACTCCCTCTTTTTCTTGTAAGTGCGGTGATGTGCTTTTGTGTCTGTGCGTCTGTTGCCTGCCTGATGGCAGACCAAGATGATGAAAGCAATAAGTGGGATACCAACTGCGCACTTGCAGTTGATGATGATGGTATTGTTGTCGTTGGTGTTTCGAGTACCCCACGTGATGAAAACAAGTGAAGTGCTTGAAGATGACAACTGAACCTGAGAAAAAGACTTACCTCACAACCAAACGTCAAGGTTAGTTTGATTGAATGGAGAACGACGGATCGAACCAAGCTTCGCCGATGGAGATGCCGGAGAGAATGAGGTCAACCGACGGTACAATGGAAAGACGAAGGGAAGATAGCTTTGGATAGAGACCAAAAAGCAAAATTCCGGTCAACAAAAGTTGGTTAGGGTGAAAGAGGTAGTGCGGGGTTGATGTTTGTTGTTTTCAGCAAAGATGTGATGATCTTGCTGAAGCCTCGGTGGTTTGGAGGCGACCGGTAAGTTGGTGAGTAGTGTCGGAGTGATGAGAAAAAGATCGACCATGAAGAACGTCTACAGATCAAAAGAGAGAGAAAAGAAGGGGGGAAGCTCTCCAAAGAAGAGAGGGAAGAAGAAGTACTACGAACTCGATGGACGAGCTTGAAGGAAGAGGCAGAAAGTGTGGTAGGTCGCGAGTCGTGATGGAGGGGTTGTTGTTGCCCGTGACCGTGACTGAGGTTGGTTGGTAAGGATGCTCAGTAAAGCTTGTCGCGGTAAGTATGAAGATCCAGTCCACAAGTAGAAAGAACGATGAATGCTGGTAAGACTGTCAGATAACTCTGCCTTGTAGATGTGTGTTGTTGTTTGTGTCTTGGAAAGTGTGATGGACGCGATGGTCGAAAACGGTGTAGCTTCCTCGAGAAGAAAAAAAATCCTTCGACGCAGAACGCTTGATAAAAAATTTGTGTGGAAGGAGGAAAAAACAAAACGAAGGAAGGAGCCAGGGAAGCAAAACAAATATGGGCAGGAGCCAAACTCGATGCTCAGGCAGGTTCTGCCCGGCAGAATCGTAACCACCAAAGTCACGATCGTGACTTCCCATTCTGCCACCCTGGGGAAATGAGGGTTGGACTTATTCAGCTGGCCAGATGCAGCCCGAGTTTCAACCACCCATATAAGTGGAGCACTTGCCGTTTTCTTAACTGCCTTTCGTGGCTGCCACATGGGATGAAGTACACAACAATGGTACCGGTGGAGCAACAATAGACAGGAGCCACGTTCTTGGAAGGCGCAAAGGCCGATAAGGGGAGGCACACCCTGGTAAGTTGAGCAAGTATCGTGAGTCCCAGAGAAAGAGGCAAGAGCAGAAGAGGGCCACGACGCCATTTGATTTTGTTTGCAGGCCGAGATCGGTCGGTTGCTCCAGGAACTCGGTCAACTTTTCCCGAGTGTTCGGTCCCGGAGGACCGATGGCAGTTGACATAGAGGTACCAGTGTGCAGGGAGCTGAGATGATACTTCATCTGGCAACAGCCCGCGGAAGCCACGCGTCTTGCGGTTCTGCCGAGGCGAACCTTCGTTTTGTCACCACGTGCCCAACGGCTCGAATGGTATTCAGACGGGCAGTCCCGCAAACTGAGCAGATGAATAGTGAGCTCGACACATCCGAACACAGATAAACAGTCCAATACCGCTCATTTCAGGTTGAAAGGCAGTTACAAACCGGTGATAGGGATTACATAGACAAGAAACACATCGGCCAGAGTCCATCGGGGATTCTTCCATCCAGGAACTGCTTGTAATCCGGATTTAGAGGCATGACAAAAACATGTGTAAGAGCATTCCGAAAGTCTGATATGTTAAACCAGTATATGATGTGGGATCAGATAGGAGGGAGCAACAGTCACGCCCACTTGGGATGTAGCAAAGACGCATCTCCCGTGGCCAGCCTGCCTCATGTCTCGTGCAATGCCCAAATTTCAAAAGAGAGTTCCCAACAGCAGGTATCGTTACGGGAACTCAACCCTGCTCGGTCATCGCCAGTTGCCCACACTTAACCCTTTCACTCTCGAGAACGACCTGACAAGAAGGAGCCCATATCCCGCAAGCTACAACCCCAGCAACCTGAGATCCATCCACACACCGTCACAAACAACCCGAAATCGGAGCCTGACCAGACAGAGCAAAGTGAGAATAAACAGCAACAGCCAACCCAAGGTATTCGAATGAAAGTGCCAAAGGAACGAGACCGCAAGTGGATATGATGCTTACAAAATCTTCTCCGTTGTGTGACCTCACTGCCGTGCCAACGCCTGACAACCGTGACCTGAATAATCATTTCCCTTCCATCTCGTTCCAAGGTATATCCTCCCACTCCACCCAGGGGTAATGTTGAGCAAACAGACAGGGGGTGAAAGTCGTCAAGGTCGTCAAGGTTCCTTCTTGATCGCCTTATCGAGGTCTCACCGCCTTCCTTTTGCAGTTCGTCGTCCATCCTCCCGTACCTCCTGGTGGTAGGTACCTAGGTACCTGCTTCCCCAGCAAGACACATCGTGACCACAAGCCCAACCAAGTCAGGCAGGCGGTGAAGTTCCTTTCGCAGAGCAGACCATACCGATGTATCTCCGTCCTTGACAACCACCCTTGCTCGTCGACGTCACCACGGTAGCCAGCAAGATGAGGCAGGCGGTGAACCCTATGCCCTTGCTAAAGGTACTTCCCTCCTTCAGATATTCCCCGTCGTCACCACGGTAGCCAGCCAGATCGGTAGGCGGTGAACCCCAAGCTCAAGCAGCACCTCCTCCTGCCCTACCCTCTGCCCTACCCTCTGCCCTGTCCTGCCAGGTGACTCAAGCAGCACCTCCTCTGCCCTACCCTCTGCCCTACCCTCTGCCCTGTCCTGCCAGGTGACTCAAGCAGCACCCCAAACCCCCAAAGTCCACGGCTCCTTCCCCTCTCTTCCACCCCTATTCATCGCGTTCCAGCTCAACCTCTGCTGCGTCTTAGCCTCCACATCCGCCTGCCTGACCGTCGCCCCAGTGACGCCGTGCTGGGTCCATTGGTCCTTGTCGATGGTAGACACACTCGGTACTTTGAGGTGCGTGATCAAGCTGCCGCCTGCCCAGGGCCCAAGGGACTCGATAGCTCGTAGTTGGCCATGTAAGGGCTTTCGGGAACTAGAAGAGGGGTTGGTGCGGGCTAGTTGCGCCTCGATCGGGTCGATTTCGGGGAGCGAGTTGGCGGCGTCGTGCCAGATACCGTCTTCTTCTTGGCCTTGTCCTCCGCCTGATGGTGCTGGTGCTGGGGTTGGGGGTCCTTCTCCTGAGGCGGAGGTTCCACTGGTCGTGGTAGTGGGTGGGGACACACCTCCGGCCTCGGGTGAGTTCGAGGTGTTGTTGTTTGTTATTCCTGTTGTAAGCCTGCCATTCCTCTTCTTCAGTTTGGAGTTCATCCGTAGTTGTTCCTTCGCCTTCCCATAGACAGGATCCCACCCCCTCTCCTGGACAATATGGGAAACTTCGTCAAATATCCGCTTGCGTAGACCCAGCACGGTGGTACACCCGCCTGTGAAGATGATTCGGGACATGCAGAGCGCTCGGACGTCGAGGGGCAGCTGGAGGAGAGTGCGGTAGACTAGCAAGTGCACGGGTGTCTCGTGGTCGTCGAAGCTGGAGAGCGAGTATTGCGAGTCAAAGAAGGTGTTTTCACAGGGCTGGGAGAGCTGGTCAAAGGTTAACTCGAGGGAGGCTGGGGATCGGCCGGAGCGGAGAGGGATGGTGGTGGTCTTTGGTGGAGGAGGGGGTAGTGGTTTCTCGCCGACGGCAGCGGTGGTGGTGGTGGTCGTCGTTGGTTCGTCTTCGTCGCTTTCTTCGACAGTAGCAAGCCCTTCTCCTTCTGGTGACGCCGGCTGTGGAGGAGAGGAGGACTTGGGAGTCTTGTCTGCCTTGAAGGGCTTGCACCAAACTAGCCGATTTGCGATGTCGTGGCACTCTTCGAACGACAAGACGTACTCTTGCCTGTCGTCTTTGTTGTCTTGTTGGACATGGCCTAGTTCTTTGGCTAGGAAACGGTGAGTCTCCTCCGTCAACTTCTTGCCTCCTCTAACTGTTCTCCTAGTTGCCACTTCGCGGTATTCATAGACGCTGGTGACTATCGTCTCGTTCCAGCCGAGATCGACGACAAGCGCTGAGCGTACACCGGCGGCGACGGTCACGGCAACTGGTGATGATAGCAGCGAGACTGTTGGTGGTTGAAAGCGGTGAAAGAGGCTGTCCAGAGCTGCTGATAGAAGGGGAATAGGAAGACCTGTCGGTACGACGCAGACCATCCTCCGGGGACGGGAGTCGACGAGCATATATCTGTAACCGTGTCAGTACATCTCCTCGACAACGCTTCATGAGATCAGGTGCTCACTTGGTATAAGCCTCCCTCACAGCCTTCTCAACTTTATCCCCCACCTGCCCCAGCTCCAAGCCCCTCACATCCGGCCTCCACAACTCATACTCCCTCCCCCAATTCCCTCCCGCGGCTTTCGACCTCCAATCTTGCTGATAATCCGTCTGCCAGTCCCTGAAATCGCCAATCCTCCGCTGCTGCTCCGGACCAAACCACACCACACCCCTGGGCGCCGAGTCCCCAGCGAAGCCCACCTGGACCTTCCGCGTGCCAAAGTCAATGACAATGAGCTCCTCTTCTGCTCGCAAGCTAGACGGTGTGTTGAAAGTAGGAATTGGACGCGTGGGCGTTGATGTGCCGGAGTGGTCACGGTCACCTCTGTCACGGTCACCTCTTTCGCCGCGGTCACGGTCTCTGTCACGGTCTCGATGGCTGGAACTCTCACGCTCACGGTGACTACTGCCACCACCACCACCACTCCGGGAGGAGGGAGCAGTGGGAGCTCGGATGTTGGCGACGCTTCGGTGGGGGAGGGAGGCTGACATTTTTGGTGGCAATTGGGTATGGGAAAAATCAATTGGTGTCGTTAGATCATCATAACGGTCGTTTTCGCGTCAATTGGAGCTTTGGAGCTCGAGTTGTTGATGGATGGTGGATGTGGCATACAAACACTTTCAGTGAAGTTGAAGGTCAATTGGGGCCTGAAAGAGATGCCGTTGGATGGGCAGCTGCGTGTTGACGCTTGTTTGTCTGCTAACAGAGCAACACCTTAAACCGTGGCTTTCAGCGAAGACCAAGGATTCATATGTTAGATAGCTGACACCACATCACAGGCGGGTCCCTGCCACTGGTAATCCCCGAGCCAACGTCTGCGCCCCACATGCGTCCAGAAAGGGAAATGTCGTCAACAATTCACGATCCTTCCTCCCTTCACATTTGTTTGCATCTTTCATCCATGAACTTTCTTGGTGAGAAGAGGTAGCGCAACGAACGTCATAATTGCTTTCACATCATGGCTTGACCTTTTTGATCCATGGCTTTTGGACCTAATTGATCACAAATCCCCCCCAAAAAACAGCCAAAATGGGCATCAAAGGGTGAGTGAGCAACAAACATCGTGAAAAACATCGTTCGCCACGCATCTATCCGCCATGCAATACATCTCACTAACACCCATATCACAGAATCTACAAAGAAATCGGCCCCGGGCAGCGCATCTCCCTCACCGCCCTCGCCACTTCCCACCTCGAATCCACCGGCCGTCCCCTCCGTCTCGCAATCGACATTTCCATCTGGCAATTCCAAATCCTCGCCGCACGCGGCGGCTCCAACCCAGCCGTGCGCACGCTCTTCTACCGGCTCGTCCGCTTACTCGGGCACACAATCCAGCCCCTCTTCGTCTTCGATGGCCCGAACAAGCCCGCCTTCAAGCGCAACAAGCGCTCTTACAGCTACGGCAACTCCCACGGCGTGGCGGACGCCATGGCCAAGCGGATGATTCGGCTGTTTGGGTTTCAGTGCCATGATGCGCCTGGTGAAGCCGAGGCGGAGTGCGCGTTACTGCAGAGGGAGGGCGTGGTGGATGCTGTGCTGAGTGAGGATGTGGATACTATTATGTTTGGGTGTCGAAGGACGTTGAGGAATTGGAGCGCTGAGGGGACGAGGAGTTCAAAAACGCCGACGCATGTGAGTGTGTATGATGTTGATGAGCGAGAAGGTGGAGGAGGGATAAATGGGTTGGATAGAGAAGGGATGGTGTTGGTTGCGTTGATGAGCGGGGGCGATTACTTGCCTGAGGGCGTACCGGGGTGTGGTGTCAAGGTCGCGTGTGAGGCGGCGAGGGCGGGCTTCGGCAAAGAGCTTTGCGGCATTAGGAGGGCTGACACGGCTGCGCTGGAGAGGTGGAAGGAACGGTTGTCGAGGGAGCTGAGGACGAATGAGAGTGGGTTCTTCAGGACCAGGCATAAGGCTTTGGAGATACCCGAGGGGTTTCCGAGCTTGGAGGTGTTGAGGTATTATACCCATCCCGTGGTGTCGAAGGCTGAGACGGTGCAGAGGTTGAGGAGGCAGTTTCCGGGGAAACAGGAGGTGGATGTGGAGGGGTTGAGGGTGCTTGTGAGGGAGACGTTTGACTGGGAGTATCGGACGGGAGCTGTCAAGTTTATTCGAGTGCTGGCGCCGAGTTTGCTTGTGCAGTTTTTGTTGCAGAGGTCTGAAGACGACGATGATACTGATGATGTCGATCGTAAGGAGAAAGAGGAGGCGGTGCTTGTCAAGGGGATCAAAAGCCGGAGAGCGCATTTTAGTACTGATGCGACCCCCGAGTTGAGGATATCCTATGTTCCGATTGAGATTGTTCCGGTGGATCTGGACGCCGAGCCAGAGGAGGAGAATGAGGGTTTCGGTCGGGGTGGGCTGGCTCTCAACAGCGACGATGAGTTCGATGCCGAGGATGAACCGCCAAGTAGCACACAAGGTGGAAGCAGCGCAAAGCCGTTTGACCCTTTGAAGCCGGATCTTGCCTGGATCCCGGAAACAGTTGCTAAACTGGGTATTCCTCTGACAGTGGAGATCTGGGAGGAGAGGCAACGGGCAAAGGAGTTGAAGGCTGCGAACAAAGGGACAAGAAAAGCACGAACGACGAAACAAACGGGAGGAATGCCGGCGGGAGCACTGGACAAGTACGTCAAAGTTGCGAAGGGACCGGCCATTGCTGAAACCGCCAAGTTGACGGACGATTGGTTATCATTGGATTTATCACCTCCCAGGTCATCATACGTTCCTTTGGCAAGTCAGCAACCTTCTCAGCTTCCGCCAGAGCGTTTCGATACAACAACAATTACCTCCCGAACGACGACCACAGCAAGCAAAGGTATTACTACAAAGGCATCTTCCTCCCGGACTACTAGCAAAAAGACAGCAGCTTCATTGCGACGACCAGCAGGCAATCCTTGGTCATTTGCCGGCTCACAAGCAAGCACCAGGATCACGAAGAATATCACGTCTTCTCAGCCAGCGGGCAAATCAAGTCTTTTCGACCAAGAACCTATCCTAATTTCGTCCAGTCCAACTGTTACCGGAAAGAGGTTACCAAATTCACCACTGGAGAGCAATAGAACAACCTCACCAGATCCATTTGCCAGTAGTCCGCCGCCGCCGAGTGTTCGGTGGAAGGAAAGGCTACCAGCAACAAGAACAACGTCAGATCCCACGCGGTACCCTTCTCAACGGTCCATTCGTGATGAGGAACCATCAAGGTTGCGATCTCAATCAGCGTTGGCAAGTTCACAGAGGAAGGCACCAGCGTTTGGCAAAGACAAGACACCGACCAAGCAAAAGTCAATCTTGGATTTTGGATATCCTTCCACCAGGGAGCAAGCTGGGTCGAGAGTATTTGGCAGGACACAGAGCGCGGTCTTGCCTTCAACTACGAGTAGGACGTTCGACCCGCTATCGGATGACGACGATGAGTTTGAGAGGACGATGCTTGCATCACTGAAGAGTAGTAGGTCAAAGGCTTTTGATCCGATACCATCTTTCCGGACAGGCACTTCCTCGTCATCCTCGCTGTTTCTCCGGAAGGAACAGACGAACAGCCACCTGGATGGGACCGACGAAGATGACGAACTCGAGAGAGCGATTCAGGCGTCGGTAAAGGATATCCGACCAACGAGTTCAGCACCTGTTGCTTCCTCTCGAACCAAAGCCCGCTCTCCCTTGTTTCAGAGAGGAAAGGTTGGCCTTGGGGCTCTCGATGAGGAAGACGATTCGGATAACGACGATTCGTTTGCCTCCATCGGAGCATTAACCCGTCAAAAGTCACCGTCACCGATACGACCGAGAGCAAGTGCCACACTGTCGCCCTCATTATCAGCAAGAAGGGAGCTTGCGCGAGAGAAGAGATCTTCGCCGGCTCTAAGATCATCACTAGCACCGACGCCAAGAACATTCCAACGAGCAGAGAGCACTAGGAGTAATCTCCTGGCAAGCAAATGGGACTGGAGTGCCGTGGAAGATGATGTTGGACAAAGTACACGGGCAACCACATGCAGTGTTGGCAGGACACTTGGAGAAACAAGTGTCGGTTCTTCTTCCAGAGAAACTCCGAAGAGAAGTCTCTTGTTTCCTGGTCTGAACCGGGAGTCAGCAGAACACGAGCTCACCAGGGAGGAGGTCCGACGGCAGACTGCAAGGGAAGGCGGCAGCAGCAGCAGCAGCAGTAGCAGGAGATGGCGACTGAGCGGGGCATCCTTTATTGATCTCACTGGTGATGATTGAGTATATAGATATTGTATACCTTCTGGGTACATAGTTAGGATCGTTATAATGAGTTTTGGTAATGTTCAAATGTTGTCTGACCTCGTCGTCGTCAAGGCATTGCGATGTTCCATTAGTACCCCTAACCCTGGCCGACACACTTCTGTCAAAAAGTCAACGTCGGCAACATCCGTTCTGCCAGCCGCAGCACAGACCATCACCAATGCAGAAGGCGGTCAGGGCTTTTTGGTGGACCCCACAGTTTTTGTGCCAAATTGCACCCACAAACTACTTGACTTAAAATTTTCTGCTCTTTCTCTTCTGAACGCGGAGATTCTGAATTGGACATCCTTCCTCGGTCGGCACAAATCAGTCAAAATGGTCAAGGTCAGCACCTGTGAGTACCGCCGTCAACGCCGTCAATCAATCATCGATGAAATACTGACAATGGGATAATAGCCGTCTCCTCCAGCCGCCGCAAGTCGCGCAAGGCGCACTTCAGCGCTCCTTCCAGCGTTCGTCGCAACATCATGAGCGCTCCCCTTTCCAAGGAGCTCCGTGAGAAGTACAACGTGAGTAGCCACTGTATCCAGGAATAAGCGAAGGGGACAAATGACTGACAGAAAACCACAGGTCCGCTCCATCCCCATCCGCAAGGACGACGAGGTCACCATTGTCCGTGGCTCCAACAAGGACAAGGAGGGCAAGGTCACTTCCGTCTACCGCCTCAAGTACGTCATCCACGTCGAGCGCGTCACCCGCGACAAGGCCACCGGTGCCTCCGTCCCCCGTCGGCATCCACCCCTCCAACGTCGTCATTACCAAGCTCAAGCTTGATAAGGACCGTGAGGCCATCCTTGAGCGCATCAAGCGCGGCCGTGAGCTTTCCAAGCCCACCAAGGTCTCCGCCTAAATTTGTCCGACCAACATAACGACGGAAGGATGAATGGAGGAAGGTGGTTGTTGATACCGCATACCTCTTGACGTTCGGAGTGGCCCGTGCCAATTAGTACTTCAGATCGGTACGACAAACAACAACAAAAGGGCCATCGATACCCCAGCTCAACAAGCGCCCTTTGTTCTTGGTCTCGTTTCGACGCGAATGAACCTTACACGGCAACCATGTTGATGGACTTCAACATCTACAATAACAAGATCATGCGGGATGTGTAGACCTGCGTGTCTAGGACCTTGAGTGCTGGGCTTTTGCTGGGGGCTCTGCATCTCTCAGCACCCGTGCTAGCGCAGTGGCCGTCTGCACGGAGCCCGATTGGTCGTGGATGGCAAGAGGATGTGGGGGAAGTATTATGGGAATACCAGAGCAACAAAAAACACAAATCGAGACAGTTTTTTTTGTTCTCAATGGCCATTTCACATACAACTTGCTTGCCTCTGCGCATCAAGCTGGTGAAATGCTCCATGGGAGGTTCTCCCGAAGTTATATCATCAAGCCTGGTTGCTCAGAGGTTTGCAAGTCGCATGTTTATGCACTTGTGACTTTTGTTTTCTACTAACCGTGACATGTGCAGCACTTTGGGCTTTCTATCTGGTCGTTACTCGGACCAAGGGTTGGCACACCTACCTATGATATTTCCTTTCTGGACCCGGACACGTAGAAAACTCTTCTCGAGTTTGGACCGTTGGACACACAAAGACCGCCAGATTATCTCCGCGTTAACCACAAGCCCCACGGTTCTCGAGGTATACGACTGGCGTAGATCAACCCAACCAGAGGACCCTACCAGGAACCCTACTGGTCTCACCTGCAGACTTCCTTGGAGAGCAATCGATGATATCGGAGGTTTGATGGTGAGGCACATTTTGCCTGTTATTGAAACAATATTTGGTGAGTATCACCGTCGTAGTTCATAGCAATACAAACTGAATTTTCTGGACCTCTCTCTCCCTCGCCAATGTGAATACGATCTGCTTGGACCTCGGAACTCCTGTAACCTTCCTGTCCTTATCATCGGTTGTGTCACAACATGTCAGCATGTCTATCCTGCTCAGTGAAGACAAGTCATAGCATAATATCCTGCCATTCGTCGTATGTGTGTGCTTTGTTTTTACAAACGGAAGAGAAACCCACGCAAGGGAAGAATTTGATTCTCTGTATCTATCTCTAGGGACACACATTTCTTGACGGTGTCAAGAAGAAATAGGATGATAAATAGTGGACTGGAGATTAGGTAGGCTCGTTTGTAAGTAGACAACTAAATAGATATCTTGTTTGTCTTCATCCAGGATATACTGATCTCTATGTACTCTCTCTCGATGGTGTACCTCGAAAGATGCCGACTACTACTGTACGCGACGAAGTCGAATGCCACAGCCATGTATCATGGTTGGATGATGGACTGAACTTGCGTTTTATCCAGGTCCAAAGTCCGATCAAAATGAGCATTTTCATGATGACATCGGAGTTAAAGCACCTTGGTACTTTTTGATAATCGGAGATTAAGGGCGAAGCGGAGAAAAGAACAGTTGTGATGGAACGTCGAGTCAACAAGAGCAAGTGTCTTGAGTGGGGGAAGAGGGGTTCGTCCGGAGCTGTCTTATATCCGTGTGAATACCACTAATATATGATACACTTTCCATTTCCTACAACAGAAAACATCAGGGAATCTCGTCCTTTGTGATCGGCGCATATCTGAAATCTTGTAAGTCGGTTTCGGCTCAAACATTATCTAGAACTTTCCCATAAATTACCATTCCTCGCATGCATCTTACACATAGTTGACACATACGTCATTCACCATCATCAGACAACCACAACCATCACCAGATCATCATTTCACATCTCAAACTTCAGCGTTCGCCGTTCATCCATCTACCAACTAACGTTTTCCAACTAACTTCTTCACTGAGCCAGATTATCAGGCCTCAACAACCACCATGTCCTCCCAAATCCCCGCCTTCCAAAAAGGCAACACAGCCCTCATAACCGGCGGCGCCTCCGGCATCGGTCTCGCCCTCGCCCAACGTCTCTTATCCTACGGCCTGCGCGTCCTCGTCGCAGACAAAGATGCTTCCTCTCTCTACCGCCTCTCCTTGGCCCCCGAGACAGAGGACTTAATCCCCTTCGAAATGGACGTCGCCAAGCTGGAAGACTGGCACCGCCTCAAGACCAAGATTTCTGAAGCCTTCAACGGACAACTCAACGTCCTAGCTCTCAACGCCGGCCGCGGGCTACCCACCTCTTTCACCAACCCAGATCCTACCAATTTCTACGAAACAATGCAGACGAATTTGTTTGGGGTGATCAATGGTGTTACTACTTTGTTGCCCCTCGTCCAAAGCACCTCCCAGACCTCTGGTCCCTCAAGCATAATTATCACCGGCTCCAAACAGGGAATCACCAACCCGCCGTCTAACCCGGCTTACAACGCGTCCAAGTCCGCCGTCAAGACGCTGGCGGAACACTTGGCGTTTGATTTGTCCAAGTCTGATCCCAGTGTTCTGTGCACTTGCTGGTGCCGGGGTGGACGTTTACGGGCATGACGGGTAACACCCACCACAGCAACGAAAAAAAGGAAAAGGAGAAGCCGGCGGGAGCATGGTGGCCTGAGCAGGTGATTGATTATCTCGAAAAGAAGATGGAGGAGGGCAAGTTTTATGTGATTTGTCCGGATAACGACGTAAGCGAGGAGATGGATAAGCGGAGAATGGTCTGGGCTATTGGGGATGTGGTGGAGGGGAGGCCGCCGTTGACGAGGTGGAGGGCGGAGGACGGATGGAAGGAGAGGGCGGAGGAGGGGATGAAGAAACTGGATGTTTAGTTTTAGATTTAGTTTTAGTTAGAGCTGACAGGTCAACTTAACGAAGACTAAGATAACAAACGATCAAGTGGTCGATGGAGGGCTGAAAAGACATCAAACATGGTAGATATGCTAACCGAACTGTACCACTTGATCTGTCGAAAAAAGTTGTACCATAATATAAGATAGTAGACATGGTATACAACCTACCTATGTACTCTACTGTCATGTCACAAACTGATACAATCCAGCCCAGTCAACACAAATACCAACCTCGACTAAACCCATATCTTTATAACTCAAAGTGTCGCTTCCATTGATACTTAATCTCTATACGCATTTCCGTTCCGCTCACGTCTCAGTCGAGACCACCTTTAGTCCTTAGTCCTTAGTCCCTTACGCTACACTACACCCATACAATCATTTCCTCGTTCGTTCCTTCATCCATCCATCCATTATTCCTTCTTCCCTCCAAGCCATGTCATATCTCAATCACCATCACTGATTATCAAGTCTTCGATCCAGTCTCCGTCTCGAGTATCAGTCTCTGCCGGTGCCTCTACCTGTACCTCTGGCTCTGGCTCTGGCTCGTTCGCTCCGCCGTTAGCTCCGCCGTTCGCTCCGTCTTCGGCTCCATCGTCTACTCCGTTGTTTGCTCCGTCTTCGGCTTTGTCGTCCATTCCGTCGTCCGCCTCATAATCTGCCTCGTCCCCTCCGTCGTACGCTTTATCATCCACTTTGTCGTCCGCCGCTCTATCATCCACTCCATCGTCCCGTGACCCTGCAAAGGCATCCAACACCGTCCTGGGAACAGACCTAAAAGTAATAATCTCCCGTTTTCCTCCTCTTCCCCCTTTTCCTCCTACTCTTCCTCCTACTCTTGCAGGTCCCCTAATACTAATAGAACCAGCACGTGTACGTGTACAAGTAACCCTTGGTGTCTCCATGGTGGTTTCTGGTCCGAGTCCATTTTCAACCTCGGTATTCCTATTCTCATCCTGCTTCTCATCCATGATCTCATCTTGCTTCTCATCCATGATCTCATCTTGCTTCTCATCCATGATCTCATCTTGCTTCTCATCCATGTTCTCATCTTGCTTCTCATCCATGTTCTCGTCCATGTTCTCATCCATGTTCTCGTCCATGTTCTCATCCATGTTCTCGTCCACGTTCTCATCCATGTTCTCATCCATGTTCTCATCCATGTTCTCATCCATGTTCTCATCCTCCTCCTCCTCCTTTCCTTCTGGCTTCCTCCTAAGAAGTTTAAGCGGAACTAACCTCCACCCGCATGCTTCCACCTCCTTTCTTCTCTCAATATCCCTCAGCTTTAAAAAATCATCACGCTCGTCTTCTGACTGTGACTGACGGGGGGGCATAGTGGGAGGCTGAGGTTGAGCAAATCCCGGAGGATGAGTAGTATCCCTATTCATGTTGTCTCCCATATCTCCCCTATCAACCCCCTTACCCTTTCTATCCTTATTGCTTTCCGTATCCCTAGTCATGTCTCTGTCTCCCATGTCTCCCCTATCAACCCCCTTACCCTTTCGATCCCTATTGCTCTCCGTCGTATTCCCATTCCTATCCGTATTCCTAGCCCTACTACTGTTCCCCACATCCTCCTCCTCCTGCTGCTGCTGCTGCTGTTGCAAATCATCCTGCTTCCGCAACTAGCGATGCCCCGCCGCAGCAAACCCCTGCTTACTCAACAACAGATTGACGCTCTCCTTCGCATTCATCGTATCCCACACACTTCCCTTGCCACCCTTCCTCCATTCATCACCCACAGGGTCTTCAGCCGCGGCTCCTGCCCTTGTGGCCTCACCCATGATCACCTCCAAATCACGCTTCTGGCTGGACAGCCATTTCTTGACAAAATTAACCGGGTCGGTACCCAAGGACGTCAAAAAGTTATGTTTGGCCTTGGAGTCGCCGACGGCTTGGATCAAGACAGCCAGGGACTCATCCAGCTGGTGAATCTCACGGAGAGTTTGGACGTAAGCGGGGTTATGAATGAAGGGCACCAAGTGCTTCGAGCGCAAGGGGTCGTCAACCAAGACATGGATGTCGTAGACTGTTGGCTTTGGGGCGTCAGGCGCAGAATGGAATTCCTGGTCCATGCGGATCGTGTAAGGCAGCTTGATGGGCGGCAACGGTTTCAGATGGGGAGTGACGTAGTCGTTCAGCTGGGGGATATGTCCACTCTCCCGTCCAATCAACTTCTGCAGCAGCTCGTCACAGCGGAAATTGCGTTTCTCGTCGTCCTCTTGCAGCTTCATCAGCCTGATGTACTCGAACAGACCGGCAACGGCTTCCTGGCGGGTGGCTTCGCTCATGTCAATCACGTCGGACAGCTCGGGCGAGATCTCGTAGCGCTCCGGGTCTTCGTGGCGGTAGAGGTTGATGGTGATGTTAACATTCTCGTCCCCGTGGCGCTTGAAGGTAAGCTCGTCGAAGTCGGCCGAGGCGGGCAGGTTAGACCCGGCCGGGGTGCGCTCGGGCTTCTTCCATTCTACCGCGGTGGTGTCGACGGGGAGACGGCCCGAGGCGGTGGGCTGGTCGAAGTCGACTGTGAGGGCTTTGAAGAAGTGCGAGAAGCGGTAGCGCTGGCCGGGCTTAGCGGGGACGGGTTTCGCTCCGGACTTTGTTGCTGCTGCCTTGTTGGTGTTGTCTTCGCTTGTGTCCATCTTGTCCCCATCCGCCTCCTCGCCATCCTTTGTGGTCTCGTCTTCGTCGTCGAGTAGTCGGCCTTCGATCTTGACGCGGTATGTGGATTCGAGGTTGGAGGGGAAGTCGAAGCTATCGACGTTGAAGTTGTTGTTTTGCCAGTACTGGTCTTCGACGGTGTTGCTGATCCAAACGCGGAGTGTCTTGTAGCGCTGTGGGGTGTTAGCATCCTATAGGTATAGTCCCAGGACAAGAGAAAGTATACACACCTTTGCATTCCTGCTAACCGAGTCCATAATATCCAACCTCTTGCGACTCATGGTAGCATCCAGCCGTCTCTCGAAATCGCGTAGCTTCTTGTAGGCAACAGCGACGTCGCTCTCGCCGACCAAAATCTCCTCGATGCCATCGGGCAGGGTCTTGTCGGTAGGTTTGCGGCTCCGAAGCTTAGCCAGATGGTTGACGGCCTCGCGACGGTGTGATTCTTGTTGAATTTGCGCCTGGGTCATGGGCAGTTGGTGGTGAGCTGGACCGGCCGACATCATGGGCCCTATGTGAAGAGAGAAGAAAGAAGCGGAGAGGTTAGTTTAGATGTGCGTATATGTTTGACTTGTATGATCAGGATTGGTGGTGGTGAATGTGTCCGGCGGCAGAGAGATTGAGGGAAGAAGTGTTCAGAGTCGGACAAGGCAAGGGTCTGATGGGGTGTAGTAGAGTAAAAAAAATCCAACTGGGAAGAAAGAAGTATCCAAGAAGTGAAACAGGGAAAGAAGAAGAAGGTAAGTGCGGTACACAAGATTGTGGTTGTTCAATGCTTGTGTCGCAAGATCAATGCAGGAAGGATCATGGAGGAGCGTTAGGGTTTCGAGCGCTTGCAGTATGTAAGGTATGTGATTGTGGTATGTTCGATGTTGGATGTTTCGCTCTCGAATTCCGACTCGACTCGGTCGGACAATCGCAAGTGGAAATCCACAATCTTTCCCTTAGCTCGTCGCGAAACCACGTTCCTCGCTCGCTCGACCGCGGCCGACGGGGGGTGGGCTCGGGCGGGACCCGCGACAAGGACGGCGGGCGGGACCACAACTTCTTGTGAGCGAGGTGTACGGACCCGGTCCCAGTCCGCCCAGTCGCCCCCCATCCAGGTCCAAATCCCCAGGTCCCGCTCACACAAGTCCCAAGAAAAGACAGACCATCGACAGGTCCCCCCGTTTCCCCCGTTCGTTCCCCCAAAAGTTTGGAACTAAGAGCGGTAGTCGCGGTGGAGCAAATCTGCAAAAGCGGAGATCCTTTGACGTTTATCCCACACGTTTAATGCATCCCGTCATGTCGTCTTTCCCATCAGCATCATCAACTGTTTACCTTTCCCTTCCCTTTCCTCTTTCCCTTGGCTTTTATCTTCCCCTTCTCTCCACCCTGTGGAATTGAAACTGACAATCGAAGATGAAACATGAGGAAATAAAATAAAATAAAAGACTTACCAATCCCCCCTCTCCTCGGTTGTGGCACATGATGTTGTCCTCCTCTCGGTCCCGGTCCTTGATGATGACCACCACCACCACCACCACCAGCCTGCGGAGGTAAAGGGACCTGTGTGTGTTGCGGCGGTCCTGGCGGGCCTTGGTGGTGACCTGGTGGTCCAGGTGGTCCTGGTGCATATCCACGGTATTGGGGCTGCATCTTGCTTGATGTCTGTGTCTCTCTGTGTGTTGGTCTCTTTCTCTCTTTCCGACTGCTCCTGTTGGGGTTTGTCGCAATGCTCGATTGAATTTTGTGTTGCGCTGCGCTGCGCTGTGTGGAAGTGGTACCAAGTTCAACTTGCTATCACTTCTTCGTCTTCCGTATTACGTGTTTCGTGTTCTCCTTGTTGTAATTATGTCGACCTTGTATCGTTTTTGGATATGGATCGCTTCGTTCGCAATGTGGGCTTCTCGAATTGTCGAGTTTGGGGTTCTTGGTTCAAAGGGACAGAAAGCGCGTCGATCGCGTCGTTGGTTTAACTGCGTGAATGCGGGCGGGCGGGCGGGCTTGTCGTTCAGAGTTAGGGGGTGCCGCGGTGGAGCCAGAAATTGTTAAGACGCGGGAAGCAAAAGGTACTTCCAACAAGTACCGAGTCCACAGTGAGACTGGCATGCGCGTCTTGGCACGGACGGGTCTACGTGTGTAGTGGTAAGGTCATGTGATACCCCTGAGAACTACCATTCCAAGCCTCAAACACCTTGTGACAGGTCGCTGCCCGCAACTTCCCGGATTGAGCTACCTAGAGACACTTTTTGGACCTGGGGCCGTCGAGACAGGGAAAACAAGCAGGACTTGAATATTTGCTCACATATCTGCTCCATCAAATGGGGAGATACAAGAAAAACCCTATTGCAAATTCGATATCCGCGTGCTTGAAATCTATCAAGAATTCATACCCATCTGATGAGCTATACTTGAAATTTTTATTTTTCCGTCTTTCGTTTCCAAGCTTCGTTTACCAATCAATGAGTTATGGCCCAACGCAACTTTCGAAAAAGTTACAGCGACTGTCAAAGTGTTTGAGCTGGGAAATCCTTGACACTTTCCATCACTTGTTCTGCATTTTGCCGTATTATCTTAAGTCGCGAGAAAAAAGAGGTCTAGGACTAGTAGCTGGCTTTGAAACTGTGAGAACACACTCCAATGACACCATCCACCATCACGTTATCCAAAATACATGATTAAAGTGTAATAACAGTAGTAGACAAACAGCTATAACAAAAGCTATATATACAAGAGATATTTCCATACATGTGCCCCATGAAACCCTCCACCAATTTTTTCCAAATAAAATAACCACTTTCCTGTGACTGTGTTTGACGTGTCCCCTTTGTTGTATGTATTGTTTCTTTCGTTCTCTGCCTTCCAGTCGTCCTTCTTCCTTCTTCCTTCTTCCTTCTTCCTTCTTTGTGTCGATTTTGTCTTATGGCAGCTAAAGTATTTTATCGCCGGCTGAAGAAGATATTGTGTTGGACGAACGCCGTAGGGGAAGAAAGGGTTACAGAATACTGAACCAAATACCGACGGAGAGGCAAAAAAACAGCAGGAGCAGAGGCAAAAAAAGAACACATGTGTATATACGCTGATGTGCGAATGCCGTTCGTTAGATATCCGTGCCATCTCGCCTCTGTCTCTCTTAGCTGATCAAGGCAATGTTGAACCTGTGACTGTGATTGTGGCAGACAGCTTGAGTAGGCTTCAACACCAATGTCATTCAGCTTTGTCCGCCTTCCGGCCTCTCCCCAATCCTCCAAAAAATCCAAATCGCAATGCCTTCCATCCAATGTTTGTTTTGTTGCAATGTACAAGGTGTGAACAGTATTAGAATTTCGTACCTTATCCTTCTTCTCCTCTTCGCTGCCTTCGCTGCCCTCGCTTCTGTCGCTTCTGTCGCTTCTGTCGCTGCTGTTGGACTGACTCCCGCTGCTGTTGGACTGACTCCCGCTGCTGTTGGACTAACTCCCGCCGCTGTCTGCTGTCTTATGCTTCTGCCCAGCCACTATTTATCCTTTCCATCGGATCGAATGAAACCACTCAACGTTGGCCGTCATCTCTCCACCTCTTTAACCTTCAGAAAGCAGCTCCCAACCCATTCTTCGACTGCCTCCGACTAAACCGGTTGCGCTTAGTAACACTGCTGCTATCATCCAGGCTCGCCTGACTCTTAGTCAGCTGATTGCGGCCCGATCGATCACTGATGCTGTATCCTCCCCCGCCTTCTCCGAGGCCAATGCCACCGTAGTTCCCGTGGTGTCCATGTCCCCTTCCACTATTATGATGATGTCCGTTCCCACTACCGATGTTCACCATCGAACTCGCCGGGCTGTTGGACGACATCGACATGTCCCCAAAATTGTCGTTGGAACCTACCAGGTTTTGCGAAAGCGCCAGGTCCTTGGCCCGCTCCAGCGACTCGATCCACTCGTCTACCGTGTACTTGCTGCTGTTGCCGCCGCCACCTTCGCCTTCTGCTGCTGATGATGACTTGTCATTGGATTTGTCTTTTGATGATGATTTTTCCGAGGACTTGGGTTCTTCAAAGGTGTAGTGTACGCCGCCCTGGATTCGGGTTGTCCTTGAACATTAGCATCAATATCGATATCACCTGATGAGTAGGGGGCGTGATTTCACGGGAACGGGAGGGGATGGGAGTTACTCACCGTGTCGACACACCAAACCGGCTGGCCCTTAGCGTCGATTTGTGTTTTCCACGTGCAATCCGAAGCCAGCAGCGAGATCTCCTGTTTGGCCCTCTTCTCCTCGCCGCCGGCCGGCGCAAAAACGATGCGGCCGCTCGAGGTGATCATGACGAGCCGCTGTCTCTTCTTAGTAGTGCTGCCGCCAAAGAAGCGAGCCAGCTTCTTATGCCCGTCTCCGCCTTCCTTGCCGTGTGGGCTGTGCGGTATCGGCGACGACACGACCATCAGGTCGCCCAGCTTGAGGATGCGCTCGTTGTTCTTCGTCAAGACGGGTGACCAGTCAAGATCCAGTTGCGTAGGAGGCGGTAGTTCGGTGATGATCCTAGCAGGTCGGTTGACGTTATTGGCCGGTCCCCCTTGAGTGGTGGTGCCTCTTCCTGAGCTTAGGTTGCCCATGGGCATAGGGTGATTATGATTCGAATTCGACCCACCTCCGCCCAAGTGCATCATTTGCGGCTGCTGCTCCTGGGACCCTGGTACGTAAGGCTTCAACCGCGGCGCCTTCATCCTCCACAGATCCTTGCCAAACGGATGTCCGGCAAAGAACTCGTGTTTCTTGATGTGCTCGACCATGAAACGCTGAGCGGGATCCAGCACGAGACATCGTTCTACCAAATCGCGCGCGGCGGGTGGGAAACCGGGAGGAAATTCGTATTCGAGCTTAACAATCTTCTGGAAAGTCAGATACTCGGTTCCCGCCTTGAAGGGTGGCCGACCGGCAAGGAGTTGGTAGACGATGCATCCAAAAGCCCATATGTCGCTGGCTGTGCTCGCCGACTTTTCCGTCAGGAGCTCGGGGCTCACGTATTCAGCCGTACCGACGAACGATGCTGCTCGCTCGTCATCCTCGCCACTATGCCCCGGCGTTTCCTCTGGTGGTCTGGGATCTCGAGGGTCTCGCAGTAGCTTGGCGGTACCGAAATCTGTGATCTTGACGTGCATCTGTTCGTCCAGGAGAACATTCTCGGGTTTCAGATCACGGTGGATGACACCTCTCGAGTGCATGTAGTCGATGGCGTCCAATATTTGAGCGCCATAAAACCTTGTGCATTCCACGTCGAACGTCCCCGTCTTCTTCAGCACGCCCAACAGCTCTCCGCCTGTACATAGATCGAGGACGTAATACAGCGAAGTCTCGTCCTGGAACGTGTAATACAAGCGGACGATACCGGGATGCTCCGTAAGGCGGTTCAGGGTGTTCTTCTCGATGTTGACGTATTTAATCTTCTTCTCCTTGATGATGTGCTTCTTCTCTAGCACCTTGACGGCGTATTCTCTCAGGGTTTGGCGATCGGTCGCAAGGTAAACGGTGCTGTAGGAGCCCTCTCCCAATATCCTCCCAAAAGTGAAGTCGCGTACTCCCTTCTTGACCGGCTTCATCGTCACTCTCCCGTCGGCATCCACCTCTCTCCTAACGCCGACTGCCGCACCCCTGTCCTTCCATTCCTCGCTGCTGGTGGAGAGCATGGGTGGTACTTCTCCCAGCCGTGCTTCTGACGTATAGGTGCCGGGCGCGGCTACAGGGATGCCCGGGATCTGAGAATATCCTCCAACCCCGCGCGAGCTCCTCCTAGGAGGCAACGCGCCGTTAGGATCGACCCCCATGGGAGGACCGGGACCGGGCCGGCCTTGATGGTATGATCGACTGGGCTCTCGTGTAGGTGCACCAGGGGGCGCACGCCTAGAGTCGCTCCTCGTAACAGTCGGCACACCGTATAGGGAACTCCGGGAAGTGTCGGTCTGGATTTCGTTCCTTAGCTCGTTCCGTAGGTCCCCATACGCACTCCCGTGTCCATGTGCGTGGTATCCTCCCCGCTGCGAATCAACCTCCATTGACTGTAATGCCCCTCCGGTATTGGGTCTCGAGTTTGGTGGCCGGTTCCCATTTCCTGCTGGCAATTGCTGGCTAGTCGGAGGATAGCCACGGGCGTTGAGGTTATCTTGGGCGTTCCTGAGGATCGCGGCGGCGGTCTCGTATGTATGGGGCGGGCGCTGCGGGGGGTCTTGAGGGGTAACCTGACGTTCTAGGTTGTTTGGTGTCCGCTGAGAAGGAGGCTGTGCAGGCTGAGGACTCGTATGTGGAGCATTGCTCGTTGTATCTTGACGGCTCGGGGAAGACTGATTGGCGGGAGCATTGGGGGTTGTCTGTTCGTTCTCTGTGGAATGGACGGAGTCGTCATCGTCGAGGTTGGCGATTCGTAAGCCGCCAAGCGCTTGGGACAAGCTGAAGTCTCCGTTCATTTTGTTTAAGGGGCGACGCCGCCAAGCGAAGGATGGGTTGAATACAGCACTATGGCGACGGTCGTATGGCAACCAAGCTATGAACCACCAGGGCTATGCATCAAGCATGTAGCTGGCGGAGTGTAGACTCGTAGGCTGAATGGACGAGGGGTTCGAGTACAATGTTCGGTCAACGGCAGTCCGGGCGTCGGTCAATCGAAGCGGTCGATGGCTCGGGGTAAGGAGATGCTGAAGAGATCGTATGTAGGGGTTTGTTGGAAGGATGAAAATGCGTCGGCAGTGGTCTGACTGCCCTCTCGACTCTGGCTTTGGACTCTCTGTAGGTAGAACTAAACCCTGCTTGTCAGATTACCAGTTGGAGTGTTGCGTGTTGGGCATTGGAACAGGAGGAGGCAGTGGCAGTCTGGTAGACGACTCAGAGTCCTGGTAGCCGCGCTGTGGGCTAGAAATGGACCAGGAGATGGACCAGGAGATGAGGAAGCTCCAATCAACCTCCCAGGGTACCCGGGAAGCAGGGGGGGGAGGTTCGGCACGGGGGACCGCGATGGTGGTTTTTTTCCTGGGAGGGTGCGCTGGCCAAGCTGATGCAAGGCCACGACTGCGGGTTGCGGTGCGGGCAGTGCTGTGCGGGCAGTGTTGTGCGGTGCGGTGCGGTGCGTTGCGGTGATGCGAACGGTGCAGTCGAAGGGGAGGCAGAAGAAACGGGCAGCAGGAATATGGAAATGCGGAATTCAGGAGATGATGGGCGGATGGGGGAGGTTCAAGTTGAAGCCATTGTACATGGGTAGAACTATAGTACAGGGTACGTACCGTTGTGTATGTGTGTGTGTGCCGGTCAACTCTAGACAATCGGGGCGGACAGACGGTCGGTCACTGCTAAGATAGAGTAGGTCGATCGGGGGGTATTGAATGGGTTGTTGAATGGGAGAGACTATGGGACCGCCGGTGATGGTCGGGGATAGAAGTCGGTGAGGGATTCCGAGGTGCCAGTTCTCTCTCCGGTCTCTCTCTCTTCTGCCAGTCCAGCTGCTGCTGCAAGTGCAAGAAGGAAAATGGAGACAAGCGATTGCGGATGGGCTAGTAGGTAGCGAGTAGAGACAGGCTGGGACCTGGGAGGTGTCCTAGGTGGTGTAGGTAGCTGAACCACCTACCACCTGTACACTACCTCGCGCGACGTTGATGGATGGAGTCCACGTCCCAAACTTGAAATTGAAAGTGTTTTTTGAATTGGATATCGATGTGAGTGGTTGTGAGAGAGACTCAAATGACAATTACAGTAACCAAAGTGTCAGTCTCTTAAAGTGCAAGTGCAAATGTGTCGAATGAATCGAATCAAGTCAAGCTCCCGTCGCATCTCTTGGGTTAATTGAACCCACCTTTTCTAGGCTCCCGCTAGCGAGTTACTTACTGTGGTATAGTGGATGGGATCCTGTTGTCACCTCTTATTTCAGGCGTGCCAGACAAGGCTCCGCCATGGAAATCCACTCTTGCGGCGTCACTCTCCGCCGCGGCCACTGGTATTGGGAGCTTCCTTGGGATCCATCCTTCACCATTAACCACGCGGACGACTCTTTGACCCTCTGCTTCTTCTTTTCCTTAAAAGGGATGCGAGATGCTCATGCACAGAACGAAAACATGCAAGGCCGCACAAGGAAGACTCGTTACCGGCCACTTGGGAATGGCACTCAGCTAAGATATCTCTAATCATAGTACACTTACATACACTGAACGAAACTGAGAGACAGGACAGGGCTATCTAATCCAATGTCCTTGTCAATGTCTCGACAATTCCTTCGTGCCTTGGAAATCGACAGAAAAAGGGTGATTGCCGGTTATCTCGGTTCTGCCTTTTTTAATCAACGCTTCGGCCACGGTAGGAAATTAGCGATTCGAGGTGATGACGGATGATGTTGATGCTCCCGATTGAAGAAGCTTGGACTCCGACTTCAACTCCATTGAAATTCAAAGTTTGGATCGTTTCTTGGTCGTTAAAGAACCGTGCTGCCCCCATGGCTTGGGACGTGCCTTAATGCACTCCTGCGTTAGCTGCCATTTCGACATGCATATGACATCTTGGGCTTTGCGTGGGATGACTTGGATGACAGGTAAGAGAGTTGGGAAACTTAAGACTCTTCAAGTTTGTTGATCGCCTTGGGTGAACTACTCTCCGAGTGAGATATTGGATCCGTCTGTTCAATGGGTTTCTGAAGTGTGAAGAAGCTGTCTTGGTGTGGTGAACTGTGCAATGTTCAAATTGTTAGTGCATGGTCTGTTTAGCAATTTGACCATGTTGAATGCCTCTTCTGACCCCGCCTCCTCGTCTCGGCGCCAGCTTGTCAGGTCTCTTGCCTTCTCGTGTAGAGATGCTGACAAACCTTAACAATATAAATTGGGTTGACGTCCAAAGTGGTGATACGGGTTTCTCATTCCGTCTGTTATCGTACAACTCCTTGTTTAGCGATTGGTCGCGAATTTGATGTTCCTACAATAGCTTGGGTTTCAAGCTTCTGGGTTCGTCTATGTCCAGTCGCAAGGCACAAAGGCAAAAACAATCTTGGTCGTGAAGGTCAGAGCCTTGAGTTTGAAGTGGATTTGTTTAACGATTCCTCTTGCTATTACAGCCAGGATAGGTTCCCGGTCCCGTCGTTTGTCACAATGCCCGAAAGCCGTCAGGACCTTCCTCAACTTTGTCCCCATGGCGATTGCCATCTCGTACTTACCTCCATATATTGAAGGCTCTCGACCCCGTGCCGACTGACATCTTGCGTGCTTGCTTCCAAAAACACCATAAATGGGACTTCAGTTCTTGTCAGGAAGGAACCGGACAGCTTCAGGTTGGCAAGATGACGTTTGAACCAGTGAAGACGAAACCTTTAAGGTCCTTCTCATAACCTCAAACCTAGACTCCTTTCAAGATTGTGATTGTTTCTTCGGCTTCTTTGACGACAACGACCTCATCAGGCAAACCCAACGCCGCCCATCATGCTCCGTCTCCGACCTACCGTCCTCGCCTTAACAATGACCGAGGTGCAAGAAGTAGAAGACCGCCGCAAGGGCTCCCGCAAAGTCAGCACCAAGAGCAAATGGCGCTTCCGCGCACGCGCCTCTGAAAACGCAACGTCGGGATCCTCAGCCCCATCGTTGCCAGACTACAGCGACAGTGATGATGAGACAGACATCCCCGATCATGACGACGCAGAACAGCCTGTCCAGCTCCCCGTTTTGCCTGCCCGTTTCCCTGAAGAACAGACCGAAGTGGTCCCCACTGCCCGGCCGCCGTGCCCCGATGTCTCCTTTGACCAGCGTAACTGCGAGCAGTCTGTCGATGGCGCTGGAGATGAGCGTGATCTCAACCAGCAGCCTCAGGCTAGCTCGTCTCGGAGTCAGCTGCCCGTCAGAACGCCTAGGACGTCATCCGCTCGCCGTAGCAACAGAGACAGTCCCCGTACTTTCGAGCGATTCGAGCTCTCGTTCCAAAACCTGAGCATCAGGACCCGGACGGCCACTCCCTCATCTGCAGCGAAACCTGCATCTCCCGCCACCGCCGCTCTTCCCCATCATGGTAGCTCTCCGTCCGAACGCTTAACGCGTCTCGCCAGCAGCAGAACCCATACCCCGGCTGCTGCCACACCTAGCAGCGTTCGATCCAAGCCTTCTCCAGTCATCGAAACCCCTACGACACCGTCTCGCCAGCCCGTCGTTAGCACGCCCATGCCTCCTGCTACCTCGGCAAGCTTTCGGGTCTATAATGACTCCCTTCCAGCCTCGTCACAGCCTCGAACTCCGCAGAACTTGCCCGAGGCTCGACACCAGAGTCGACTACTCCGACAAGGGGCGTATACAGTTCCTGCTGGTTGGCGAGCCTCATTCTCGCAGGAGCAGAGGACGCCGACGACTAGTCGAGCGCAGAGACAAAGGAGCAGAAGAGAGCCCAGTCCACAGGGACTAAGGACGCCCGGAATGGTGGGATTGTATGGAGGGAGTGAGAATCATACGGATGATGGTGTTGTGTTTGTTGATATTAGGGGAGGAGGGGGTGTCGAGGAGGGCGATGAGGAGGAGGAGGAGGCGCATTTGTGAAGAGGAGCTTGAAAGAGGGTGGAAGATGTGACGATGATGCGCTGGTGGCTCTATGATGTACGAACTTGAGTGCGTTGGCTTGAAGCATGCAGTTGTTAGGGTGGGAAGATGAAGTATGAGGTAATGGCTTGACAGTGTTGGTGATTAGTGATGTGTGGTTGATGCATCGTGATGGCATTCTTATCAAAGAGGACAGCCGACAGTCCGCCACTCATTGGAACTGCATTTTTTGACGAAGCTCTGTCGTTGTTAGATAGATTGTTTTTTGTTGATGGATACAATGAAAATACACTTATAAGATAAGGGATCATCATGGCAAACTCCACCAACTGGATGATCGCCCATCAAGGACCAGCCAGCAGTCCTGACACGGCTCGCTCTTCAGGGTTCAAGTCTCCATTTTGTTACGTCGTATGAAGCGAATTGGGCAACCAAGGCGGTGCACTCGCGCGAGTGAGGCTGGTTGGTGATGGAGGGTGATGATGGATAAATGAATGGATCGGGACATGATTTGCAGGAAAGGGCTGTGTTTCGAGTCAAGTCGAGCCGAGCCGCCCAGTCGTGTTTGGGGATCTTGCGGGAGCTGAGGGGAACAGGATGACCGGTGGAGGGACGAAAGATTGGAAGGGAAGGGATGGACAGATTGACAATCTGACAGAGGAAGCAAAGACGGCAGCTCTCTCTCAGTCAGGTTCGGTTACACGACACAGCTTGCACAACTCTGTTATCTGTTGCACAAGTGGAGGAGCTTATCAGGCGGTCTGGGTCAGTTTAAGGTACGAAGATACCTACGAGCAGAATGGTGCACGAACTCAGAGGTGAGACGGCGTTTACCGGCAGGCAAGTCGTCAGCTGACCACAAATTTCATTCTGGGAAGGGGTGGAAATTTGAACGAGGACCATGAACTTGTGAGATCATTGGCTGATGCACCTGGAGGGCGTCGAAAAACAGACAGCAGGGGTGTAAGATTTCCGCAAGCAAGTGCGAAAGACAGAAAGTGGAGAAGCCCGCAAAGGAGTGGAGCCATTCACGGGACACGGATGGAATTTCAGTCGGTTTGATGGAATCTGCCGCCCGGCCTCACCGGGGGAAGGAACGAAGCGAGACGGCTGCTCTGACGGTGCACGAGCCATCTTGCTCACTTCTCTCAACGGCGGCACAGGACCAGGCTCGGTGGCATTTTGGATTTTGAGGCCAGAGTCACGTTCCGAGTGGGGACGACCAACGCGGGCTTGGCTTCCTCCCAAAAAAAAAAAAAAGCGAGGCGGGTTGCCCGGCCACCCTTTTCTGTTTTTATCAACAAGGGGGCAAACCGCCTGCCCTAGGAGCATTGCTCTGCCAGTCTAACCGGATTCGGAGCTACGAGATGTTCCGCAAGAAAACTGCCCCGGGCTTCTTCTGCCCCAGAACCAACAAGCCAATGAGATACTCTACTTTAGCTCTGACCCGCTTTATCCTCCGAGAGCCAATTGGAGATCCTTCAGACGATTGCCGCATCCTGGCATCCGCTTGGCGGTTCCTGGCGCGATGTACCCGACGGAGTTTGTACCTTTGTACCTGCAGTCCTGCACTGGCTGCCGCGGCCTGTGCTGCCGGCAACGCTGCTCTCGGTCATAGCGTCCTGTCCAATAGCCGAACCGCTTGGCATGAGATGGCAGATGCTGCAAGTGGCATCTGAATCTCCCGTGTCCGTGCCAGCCGGCAGCTGTACGCCTGTCAGCTCGATTGCCTTTACTGTCTGCCTTTCTCGTGCCATCCACACACAGAGAGACAGCGACAATCGCCTCCATCTTCCACACACATTTGCGCTTCCACACAATGGCAGGACCACGGACCACGGTCTACGCCCGCGTCCACGACCTCCAACAGTCCAGGATGGTCTGGGGTCTAAGGTCTCGCAGGTCCCCGTCTACTGCCTCTCTTTTTGCTCTCCCACATTTCGCCGCCTGCATCCCCATCCCTCACACAGTACCGTGTACTTCACTTTTCTACTTTCTCTTCCATCTCTTCCACAGTTCTGTGATCTGATTGTCCTCGGATCCCCGTTCCTCTCTCCATTCTTTTTTCTACACACCCTCCTCCACCACACTTCCCTCTTTCTCTTCCGTCCCATCCTCTCTCTTCCTTTCTTTCCTTCCTCACCACTCTCACTTATATCTACCTTCCTCCACCAACACCATCCTTCCTGATCACGAGGCTCCCAACGATACTATAAGACCTCCCTCCCGTCCTCCTCCTCTTCTTACTGAAGGTCACCTCACCTATCAACCATCTCTTACTCTGGCTTATACCAACCAATCTTGGCGCCAGCTTATACCATCACTTACACTCAACCTCGTAGGACGTTCAAGTCCTCGCCTACCTACCACAACACTTCACCCTCACTCTTCTGGCCATCTACATTGGTACCTCCCGGCCAATTTCTTCTCTAGACACTGTCGTCTACACTCAAAACCATATCACCACGCGTCTGATCTGACCAGTGTCGGATCACCTGCGACTTACACGCCTCGCCTTACACATTTACCCGAGTGCTAGACAGGTACCATCCATCATGCCGTCTTTCGACCGCTACTACGCCTCCTCGTCGCCCGTCGTCACAATGCCAGCAGAGGTCGCCCACAACTTCTCGTTTGGCAAGTCCTACCTGGATCAGCAAGCCTCGCTCAGCCAACCCATCTCATGGCCACAACTCCTCCGCAACTGCTCCGCGGCCGGACGTAAACGCTCGCGCGATGAAGCCGCCGTCAACCTTGATCCTCCTGAGAAGATTGTCGAGCCCGTCATCAAGGAGTCGGAAGACGAATGGGTCTACGGCCCTGGCATGACCCTCATCAGAAAGAAGTCCGGATACGTTGCCGATGCTAGCAGTCAGTCTGGCACCTGGGTCGATGAGAAGGCTCAACTCGAAGCGGCGCGCAAGTCCGAAGAGGCCCTCAGCTTGCAGCAACAAATGTCCCAAGAAAGACCATCCCTGCGCAGCCACAAATCACAACGGCTTGATCCTCGCTCCTCCAACAGCACTCTCTCCAGTCGCGGCGGCAGCCCATTGCGCGACACTTCCAACCCAATGACCGCCTCACCGGATTCGTTGGCCGGTCCAATTGTTGACGACTTTACCGTTCATCTCGGCATCGGCTGGGCCCGAATCCCCGAAAGCAAGCAACCCGCAGCTCGTGGTTGGGCGCGCTACATCGAAAACCACTACTCTGTCACAAATGCCAAGATCCTATTGGAAAGCCATGGCCTGGAGGCGTATCTGGTTGAGGCTACTGAAGGATACTTCTTATTCGCCGAGAACCTCCGTCAAGGGCGACTTGTCAGCAAGACTGCCGACGGCATGCTTCAAAATCTCAAGGGAACACCGCCTGTTTTCGATGGCCCCGTCACAATGGATGCCTCTCAAACGACTAGGCCCACCAATGCTGGCCCATCCATCTTTGATGTTGCCAGCGAGATGGACATGAGCTAGAGAGCGTTACATCGTTGCGTTCTCCTTTCTTCCATCTTTCGATTTGGGTTGTCTTTCTGTGGTTGGTTGGCGTTACTTGGGGATTGGGCGACGTGCGTTTCGGGCGTTGATTGGCGAATGACAAAGAGGTCACGACCGGCATGGCCAATGCGTGGCTCAACGACTTGCCAGCGATTCGATTTTTCTGCGATTTTTTGATCAACATCTTTCATCCGAACTGACTTTCAGTGTTTTTATTATTCCGCGCGAACGGTTTACGGGGGAACGGTTTACGGGGTTCTTTTTTCTTTTTTTCTTTTTTTTCTTTTTTCCACTTTTATGTTTCGGTTCGATTTTTCTACTGGTTTCCGACAAACGATTCGGCGGCAAAATCCGGGGTAACTTTCTGGGGGTTTTATGGAATGAGCGGGCGAGCAACGCCAACGGCGAACTGTATCTGTAAGAATAGACGTTCAAAACAAATGAGTTAAGATCAAGCAAACAAACATTGAGCAAGCAAGCAAGCTAGGTCAACATGGTCGTGATTGGTTTCTTAGATTCTTCATGCAACGTGAAGCTAGTGAAATTATCTGGCGAAAAGACCCAGGCGGTGAGTACGATAAGACAAGCGAGCGGATCCCAACCTCGAGCTTGTTCAATCGGAGCTTCAAATGCCAAGTCGAAGTTTAATTATTCGCGGTGAGCGCGATGGGCGCCATGCATCCACAAGTTGATGTCAGTGGTCTTGTTCTTGGCTGTCCTCGGCTTGCAATCTGACCAGCCTCATTTTTCGAGATCGAGGTTGACCACACTCTTCGCGACCGCGGACATTGAAAGTTTAAAAGAATATTTGGGGAGTAAGATTCAGGAGATCGGATGAATGACTCCTTAACTGTGATCTTTGCTTGGCCTCTGCTTGCATCTCGAGCCTCTGTCCGATGCAGTGAGCGTGCTCTATACGTCTCATGCCCTACCGGAGGCGGAAGTAGACGTTAAAAATAACAAGTGAGCGTGCTCGGATGGCGCTTAGACGAGGAGCACGCGATGAGGCTCGGTCCGTTGGCGCTCGTGGTGGGCGACCACATCACACGGCTTCCATCTTTGAAATCATCAAATAATCGTAGCTTGATCAGGATATGGAGTTTTCGCGAATATACTTAGGGAACCATCTTTTCGAAGGATAAAACAAATGGAAGATACCGATGGGGATGCGATGAAGTTGATGACTGTTATTTAAGTGGGCCTCCGTGGTGGTTTGATGACACGTAGGTGGGTTACTGCACTATTGGTTTCCCTCCAGATTTTGCAGTGATGACGTTAGGACGGCATCTTTTCTGGAACGATCCTTATCTTATCGCTCTGAGGAAGGGAACCTGGAACAGCTCGGGGTCGAGTTGAGTAATACCACCTCCACTTCTCAATTCAGATACACCTCAGCCCAGGCACAAGACAGACAAGACAAGATGGCATGACCCCTCCCTTACATAAGTACTGATCTTACTTTGTGCTTTGGCCTTTTGTGACTTTTGTCTTTCTCGGCCGGAAGCAGCACAGCAACAAAAGTTGGGGATGGGCTTGGATGCGGGATGCGGGATGGATGAACTTGCCTCATTGTCTCAAAGGAACTGAAGTTGTGCATCGGACGGGAGCAGTGGGGAATTGGGCTAGCAGAGGGTGGGAATAAAAGCCACTGCCCACTGGACTCGGTGCAGCAGTGCGGGTAACTACACACCTTTTTCCGACTCCGAAGACAGAGCAGTTAGAGCAGTCGAAGGATTGGAAGGTAGTTGCTAGCTATGACAAGGACAAAGGCGAGCTTGGAGGTGTAGGTAGGGCTGGATGTTATGGGGCGAAGTCGAATAAAGAGGTTTTAGAACGGGAGTTGGTCTTGTGTAAGTCACCTTTTCATCCACTCGCCAGCCAACATCTTCGACTTCGATGATAAAGAAACGGCAGCAACCAACTCGACAATTTCGATGATAAAGGGGGAACGTCAAAGAAGCGCGATTCACGCTCATGCGAGGCAACGCTGTAGCAACAATCGCGACAGGCAGTCTTCGGTTGCCATGCGCACGCCATGCCTGAGCCTCCGAACAATCGGGGTGCCTCCAGCTGCTGGCCTGCTGCAGGCTGCCTCGATTGAGACCTGCTTTGCATTGGCTGAAGCCTGAGAGCTGCAGCGTTGCTGTTTTCGTTTTCGGATGGATGTCAACAAAAAAACAAAAACAATGATGATTTTTCCTCGCGATGTTCTATGCATAGAAACCTCCTTTGTTTTGCTTCGGGAGTTATTTCCTAGGACACTTCAGGTTGCCTCTTACGCAAAGTGGAAGTGGTGATGTCCAAGTGAACAAAGACTCCCATAACAGCTCCACCTTGTAGCTCCAACCGGGCGAACTACCAACAACCTTACCTCATGCCATCATAGCATTCATTCATAAAGATTCTTCTAATTTGTATACTTGATCTTGTTAAAACAAGCCTCTTTGCTTCGAGTTTCCTTTCGGTTTAGGGTCTCTTCAACTGCGCTTCGCGAAGGGTGTCAGTATCGAGGAAACCAACCCAGCTCTTACACCACCACCAATCATTCGTTATCCTCTGACCAAAGCAACCAAAAAGACAACCATCAGCACTTCGAACAGTTTGAACTCGAACCATCCATCGACTCTGATTGCTTGGCCCCTGGCGACTCAATTGCACTGGCGAGGCACACTCAACTTCAAACGTCTTCAACCAAAAATCTTATCGGCGGCCCTCCTGTCGAGCCGTCAATCGCATTCGCAGCCGACCTTGTCGCCTGTCAGTTTGAGCGGTTGCATTCAGCACCACCACCACCACCACCACCACCACCACCACCACTCCGACTACGAATAACGAATAGTTAGTGGGTGGTATTTCCCCTGCTTGTGGCGATATCGCCATCGCCGGCGACTTCGACCGTTCGAAGACCCTCGACTGCAAGCGGTTCAAAGAACACAGCCGACAGTCGACACAGCCTCGACCGAACGGAGATCACAAGCCTCTCCGTCTTTGACGAACTCAGCTGTTAGTGGCCGTGCCGGTGCCGGTGCCGGTTGAAGCTTTCAAGTTTTTCTTCGAAGCCGAACTGAACGCAGGGGGGCAGTCCATGTGAACCAGGCGACACTGGAGTCTTTTCTTGGAAGACACCCCTGACAGTTTTTTTTGGTGTCTTCCCTTTCCCTTGTCGTTGAGATCTCGAAGAGCAGAACTGAAGCAGGCGCCGAATAATTGTGGGGCTGGGGTTAAAAGCACCGCGCTGCACTCATCTGATTCACCTGAAGACTTGTGATTTGCCCTGGATTTTCAAGACTGGATGCAACCGTCTTTTGCGCCGGGGCGGTACTGTACCTGATCTTGTTCCTGTTTCTGTTAGGTTTCTAGTTCCTGTTCCTGTTCCTGTTTTTGATTTCTGTTTTCTGCTTGATCTTTCCTTCTTTTCCTTCTTCCCTCTGGCTCCCGTCCTTGTTTCTTGCCCCTGCAGCTCTCTTGTTCTAAAGCTTCTTTTTCCCTTGCCTTGCCGAATCTCACTAGCAGCTTGTTTGCGTGTTTTTGTTTTTTTCTACCTTTTTCTGTGAAGCACGAGAAGACGAGACGACGACGAGACGAATCGAAGCAAGAGAGAGAACTTGAAGAAACATAGCACGTATCGCAACGCATTACCACGCGTACAACCGCACAACTCAAACTTTTACAGACAGCGGCGGACCACGCAGGAACTCACAGTGTCACCCTACGGTACATAGCTGCGATTCGCGATATCGAGAAACCAGCCTCCTGCCCGCATGCATTGACCCCTCACAGCTTAAAACAACACCAACCACCCTGGCGGCGACCCGGCAGCCGGCTGTCCACCAATTCGACTCTCACCACTCACAAACCAAGCGGACGGTGACGACGGCGACAAGGAAGAGAAGTGAGGCAGCCCAGCCTAGCTAGGGAAAAGAGGGTCTGAAAAAAAGAGAAAAGAAGTTGGATTTTACATTGTTTGGACAGACAGAAGAAGGAAATTCGGGAAACAAAAAGGAACATTACAGTCAAAGAAGGGGTCCACAACCCAAGGAGTGTCGCGCATCCAACTGGCGCGCATCCACGGACGCAGGGCATCTTTCCCCCATCAGCGGGCCAGGCGACGGACAGCGCATCAGACTACGCTCCGCATTGCGAACAACTCGACAAAAATCCCATGGTCGCGCAATACGGGTCCGGGCCCGGCGCTGCTGCTGCCGGCCTTGGTGTTGGTTCACTGGGAGTCGGCGGCGGCGACCGGGATGTGTCGACTCTGGCGATACGGGGAACATCCTCGGTCGTAGGCGGCGCTGGTGGCACCGGCGTACGGGCGAACCACCGGGATAGCTACAGCCACCACGGTCACGGCCACGGTCACGGTCACCACAGCAGTAGCAACAACAACTTCAACTCGTCGCAATCATACGTCTCATCACGAACCCGACGATATAACCGATCACACGCCGGTGGCGCGTCGTTCGTACCGCAAAACGAGTTTCCCATCTTCAGCCATAGCGGCGATGTCGAGATCGTCGTGCGCGTCCCCTGCGGACTCGAGAACCGATACCTACTACATCGACATATTTTGACGAGGTGTTCGGGCTTCTTCGAGGCCAGCACCAGCCAGGAATGGTCACGAGCCACAACTGTTTTAGGAGGAGGAGTACCAGAGTTACCCGCGCCGGGCAGCGCATCGAAGAGTGGGAGCGGGAATGTGGCAGAAACAGGAACAATAGCAAGGACAACACAGGACTCAGCACCGACGAAACGATGGCGATACGAACTCGACACCGGCACCGACGACAATGACATTCCCATGCTCGTACAGAAAGAGGAATCCTCACCACCACCAATACCTACATCTTTGGGGCCACCACCAACACACTCGTCCATCTTCGGCAATGGGACCTCCTCGTCAGGCCGACACAGAAGTAACAGCCAAAAATCTACCCATCAATCCAACTCCTTCTTTCGCTCCGTCGCCAACCTCAGCCTCTCACACTCCTCGTCTCGCAACCATCACAATGCTCCGCCACCAGCAAGGGAAGAACCCTCACAAGCAGACCTCGACCTCCTCCGCGACTACGACAACCTCTTCCGCATTATGTACAACTACCCTCCAACAATCGACCCCATTTCTTTGCCCGACGCCTACGTGCAATGCAAATCTCTCCTACAGCTAGCAGACCAATACGATGCCCTAGCAGTCGTCGGGCCGCGCGTGGATCACCACCTCCTACAATTCCAATCACGGCTATGGCGACAAATAGCCAAATACCCCATCTCCTACCTTCGCCTTGGGTATCTAGCAAGAAGCAAAGTCATCTTCCAAGAAGCTTTGATTCACGTTGTCGGACAATGGCCCGCGGGCGAACGGTCAATAAGAGCAGCGATGCCAGAGTCAGTAGTGGACATAATCGAAGATAAAGTCGACGAACTAGAAGAGGTTGTGTCACGGGTGGAAGCTCGCCTCTTCCGGTTGGGTCTAACAGGACGCGGAGGCGAGCGCGTCGGACCAGGGAACGGATACGTTGACTGGCTAGCTGTGTCTTTTTTCCGGGAGTGGCTCGCGGAAAATACTTCCCCGCCAAGTTCGGCGGAGTATACATCCAGCAAACACCCGCCTCAAATCCCGGAACGGACGAGGGGTGGACATCGAAGCGGTAACAGCAATAACGTCCCGGGGAGTAGGAATCGACATAATAGCTCCTCTTCTGGATCAGCGTCAGGGTCAAATACTCACTCTGCCTCTGCTTCCGCCCGCGACCGCGACCCGTATGCTGCGAATGCACCAACCAATACCCCCGCGCATTTATCTACCACACCCCTCGCTACGCTTGGTCGCACATTTCGTCTGTTGGGGGGCTCACCAAAGGAATACCTTACCCACGACGACTGCAAGCGGTTTTTGAAGCTCTCACCGGAGTTATACAACAGGGATAACCTCAGGCGATTCGAGAAGAGGATTGAAGAGCTGAAAGCCATGGCGAGGGAGGTGGTTAGGCCGCTGATGGGTAGTGGATTGGAATTGGAGATTTCTGGAGGGGGAAGTGCACATCCGACTGCTAAAGAGAGTAGTGGTGGTGCAAATGGTGGGGCGAGCGGTGGTGGTGGTGCAGGGAGTGGCAGTGTGTTGGGGTATTTGACTTGTACGACGGTTTATGATCGGGATTTACCTTGGATGAGCTATGATCAGGTGTGAGATGTGAAATGTTTGAGAGACGGAGGGAATGGAAGGGACGAGATATGTTTGGCTTTTCTTTTGATATATATATATATATATACCGGGCGCAGCGTTCGTTATGGAGCGCGGAGGGATCTGGATGGATGGATGGATGGATGGACAGTTGATGAGACCTGGCGTCTTTTCTTTATACCCCATTTGTGTTGTTTTTTTTGTTACCTATACTTTTCCTGTTCTGTCCATCTTCATAAAGTCTAGTTTCTGTCTACTCTTTTGGCATCTACCTATGTTGAACGACATATGATGGCTTGTATATCTCGGAGATCGAACGACATAATGAGGACATGTTCTGAAGTCTGGAGTGTATAGCATCACAGTTCTGCAATGAGAAGCGAGGATACCCACTACCATCATGCTAATATAAGAACCAGTGAAAAGAGGTGAGCCTACACAGTAAGCGGAATATGAAAAGACAACATATCTGACCTGCCGTTTTCGATGCTCAGTTTCGGTGCTCAATTTCAAACCACTCCCACTCACTCTACATATCTCTCCTCAATAGTCACCACTCATGAACTATAATATGTTTTAACATCCAAACAAGGGTAATCGACAACTGAAGAATAAGGGGAAACTTGCTCTACATCATATCGCACTGAAGCACCATGTTTCTATCAGATATAATCCTCCCGACTGTCAACCACAGACGAAGCAGACACAAAACGAGACATGTCAGAACATCAACACAACAACAAATGGGAGGAGGATGGAGGTCTGTATCTCTCTTGAAGCTATCAACCTCTAGGTCTAAACCTTCTTAGCAGCCAACTATTCGTCATACAACCATATCATGTCAGCCTTCAATTACCCCTTTCAATATTTCAGACCAAAACATGTAACACAAGGGAAGTAAACAGGGCTCGAGTAGAATAACGGGAAAAGAAGAGAGCATCATACCAAGTAACAATCCTTCAACCGCATAAACTCCTTAGCGCACAGGTCTTTGTGCACGGAGTTGTAATCTGCTAGGATACATTTTCCGTAAGCCGCCGACTGTGAGTAGTGTGTTCATAAAGTTAGTCCACCTGGAAACTGCGAAAGAGTGCTTGCTGGAGAGGGTTCGGAGAGGGTGGACTCCGTAGGTATATGGATGAACATGAAAGCAAGGGAGGGGCTGGTAGATGGGAATAGCTTCACTTCACTTGACTTGACTTGACTTACCTCGACGGAGCACTTGGACACTGCGGAAGCGAACCGCTGGATTGGGCGGACGGTGGCTTTTTGGGGCTGCATCTTTACGAGCTGTTCAAACTTTCGGATTGTACTGTGATCCAAACCGATGAGACCTGCCAGCTGCGTTCTATTCTTGATGTGAGATTGGAGGTTAATAGTAGCGTGGAGGAAAGGCGATGATACTCGTGACGTTGGTGTCTTCTCGCCGGAGAGGTTAATTGTTAGGAAGGTACCTAATATTGAGCTTAGAAGGCTGCATACATGAGGTTTCCTTTCATCTGAACCTGATGCACTAGCTTGCTCACTGCAACTTGGACCGATCTAGCGGCAGCGCGCCAGGTGGTGCGTATAATTGATATGTGACTAACAAGTTTAGCGGTAGCTTAAGCCACATACTGTTAGTATAGTTTCAGACTGCACCTTCACCAACCTGCCGCACGCGTCTCAATCGCATTGGGCTTCCCGCTCCGCACTGCAGTTGGTTGCCCGTCCAGCGGTCGCATCTCTTGTCGCCTCCACAATCTCTTTGCATCACCAACTCCAGGTCTCCCGCTTCGACGGGAAGAAGCAGCAAATCGCAATCGCAATCGCCAACCCTTGCTCTCACTCGATACTCCGTCGGCCTCGTTCTTCCTCACGCGACTCTCTGCAGCTTTGCGCAATTTGCTAATCTAGTCGAAACCTCGGACCTCTCAGCTCGGTCGATAACGATAAACAAACCTTGTGTATACGAACGAACGTTTCGTCTCTTCTCTCCCCGTCGTCGACAAGCGCGCATTCTCTCTTCCCAGCCTAGCCAGTCTCGCCAGTTTTTCCCTCCATCGCAGTCGCATTGAACATACCAACGATCTACCAACCTACGTCCTATAAACCTAGCAATACACTACTACATTCTACAATCGCAAAGAAACCCAACAACAACAACAACAACAACAACAGTCGCCCACGCCAGCCCACCCAATCGTCATATTCGAAGGCGTACCATCGTGCTTGATGAACAGTCGGGGACTAGGATTCCCATAGTCATGCTTTCGAGGTGGCGGCGCCCTCTCACATGCCGCCTCCACCCTCTCTGCCCCTCCACCACCGAGATGGCAGGGCCGGGTTACCACAGTTATCCTCTTTGCGACAACCTCAAGGTCCCAATATCAACAGCAGCAATGTCGGTACAAGCGCCAACGCCAATACCAGCTTCGCCCAACAAGCTCAAGCTCACAATAATGAGCCGTACTACTCTAATGAAGGTGCGCTTTCCTCTCCGCCTCTACTGACCCTCTAGTCTTGAAATATGCTAACCCCGAACCCCATCACAGACATCGAGCTCCTCCACGAAATCGTCACCCTCGCTGAGTCCATCCTTCCTTCCCTCCCGGAACGCGACCGCTTGCCGACGAACGCGCTCTTCCAAGCCGCCGAACAGATCCTCCCCGCACATGGCTACCCAGATCCGGACCAGGCGCCCTCGCATATCTCGCGGCTTATCTTTAAGATTGGGGGCCAGCGATGCGCGCCGAACTCGAGAGGGGAGACCAGTTTGCTGGATCGGTTTCGAACCGTCTTAGCGGGTATGGGCATCATGTTGGAGTATGTGCCTAGTAGTCCGTTGGGAGGGAGTCGGGAGCAGTCGCCTGCTGGAGCTGCGGTGGGAGGAAGAGGGGGAAGCGCTGAAGCAAGAAGGAGGGCGGCGGTAGGGGATAAGCTGGCTGCTAGGTCTAGGTCGAGGAGCGTCTCGGTATCGGGCAGGTCGCTGGGTGGGTTCTCGTCGGTTTTTAGTGAGGACGAGGACGTGACGGGCGGGGAACTCGATATCAAGTTGCGACGACTGCTGCCAAAGAGGAGACACAGCTCTGTTTCGAGACCGCTTGCGCTTGGTGGACTACCGATTCGGTCACGAGCACGTTCGGCGAGTTTCACAGATCCGAATGCCTTGCCGGGGGATACGCTCAGGAACGAGAGGGCTAGACGACTGGAAGCGCTGGCGCAACAACGGGAACAGCAGCAACGAGAAAGGGAGCAGCTGTTGAATCGAAGGGGGAGGTCACCCGAGAAATGCCAGGGGAGGAGAAGTCAATTGGCTTCGAGGTCCAAGAGTTCGATACGAGGGGAATATG